ATAATTGAATTTTATATCGCAAATTCTAATTGATTTGTTATGAATCCTAATTGTACACAAAGTGAATTCGATATCCTAAATCCATGAGTCATTTTGGGGGTTACACAGGAATTAATCATGCAAAATACAGCGCAGACACTATTCCAAGTTGAAAATTTTCCCAAAAGTTTCAACTGAACTAGAGAATCAATACCTTTTGAATTGATTTCAAAATGACAGTTGCTGCCGAGAAGGCCAGATCTGAGGCAATTAGCCTTTCCGAGTATTCATTTTTTGATCCATCTGATGAATCTGAGATACCTGCATCGTTTGGCACATTGTGATTTTCAGTGGGCCTTTTTGATGCTTGTGATGGAACTGTCCCTGGGTTGGCAGGCTTATAAAACTAAGCTATGAATTAATTCTCCGCCATTGAAGCACGAAAAAATGCTACAAAATGGGCACTAGGTGACTTTGTTTTTCCAGAATGACATTGGAGCACTCACATCACTGCGCTATTAAGCTTGTCAAGAATGAAAAGTTGTGCATTGTCACTTGGGGTATTAAATAATAATGCGGAATAAATGCATTCCTGAAGTGCACGCAATGCTGCAGAAGATCGTCAGACAATTACGACGTCGGTAAAAAAAGAAAAAAAAACCCTCTACATCAAGCTGCCTCTCCTCGACCCACATTGATAATTGCACGAGAATGCGATAAATACTGCATAGCTCCCCCCAAAATCCAAGTGATTTCAATATCAAATATATAACTCATAGTTCCCTGTGGTAAAGCCGTAACCAGCTTCATCCTAAGGCACATCAGTAGGTACTCATACCCATAACCTATTAGATAAAGCTGAAGCATGAGATGGCCAAAAGGTGAAATTGCTTGCAATGAATTCCATACCGTCTTTCTCGTCCATGAAACGGATGGATAATTCCCGTGAATGGTGATCTAACTATGCACAACTTAATGATAGTGGCGATGTAAAGAAGAGACGATATTCAATACCCAAAGCTGTCTTCACCCGTACAGGCGCAATGATCGCCATCAACATTCATGAGAAATTATTAACGAGAAACATCCACAAACTGTACGGCGTCTCCACTATGTATATCTATCTTATCAATTTCAATAATTTAATAGCCTGATTTTTATGGAACTAGGACTTCTGATGAATTTCATCTTTAGATGCTTCAATCATATGATGATTTCGACTATATGCCGGCGAAACTAAAGGAGACTAAATGGCAAAATACCTTTAGGTGCATCTAGCAGCCTGCATCAGCAGGGAGTTTCCCAATCACAAAAATAATATGATTTCGAAAATAAATCTCGGAAAAATTGTCATTGCCAATGCAATGGCCGCCATGAAATGCGATTCTACAATACCCTTACGCCTTGGCAGTATCTGTGGTTATCAGTGTACGCCAAAGTGGTATCATAACTCATATCGAATGATAGAAAATGGGCTTCGCATGGCCTCCCCCCTATTTCGAAATTTACAACTTTCTTCCTTTGGCGCTTCCCCGGGACTTGGAGCAGGATGAGGATCCCGCCTTGTACCAATCGGCGTAAGCGTTGGCGCTGGACCAGCACTGCTGGTGTTCGCAACGGTCTTCTGGCCAAGTGCCTGGGCGATAGCACCACCAACAGCGGTCGCACCTGAACCACAAGGAGGCAGGACTGTCATGATTGCCGCAATCAGAAGAACGCCGCTGTGAGGAGCAATTGGCTACTTGAGAAACCAGTGCGAGGAGGCATTGAAACAAGAATGGGTAGACGGACTACGGACCTGAGGTCTTGGCGAGGGAGCCGGGGAAGGCGCCCGCAGAGTTCCATCCTGTGGTGGAGCCGGTCTTGGTACCCGCGAAAGCGCCCCGCCCGGGCGCACAACTGTTGGCATTGGCGTTGGCGTCCTGACTATAGAAGAAGCCCGTAGAAGACGACCAGTTCAGAGAACAATTTTTGGAAATCGAGTTTGAAGTGATTTTTGGCGTTTATTGTGAATATCCAACGAAGACGTTCCAATTTGATAGCATTGTGCTGCTGAATTCGCCATGCACTTGTCGGCGTTGTGTTGCTGTGTTTGTCGGTGTTGTGTCTACTAGCATCATATCGAAACGACATCAAGGACCAGGGAATGCTTAATTTTCGTACTTACTGCGCAGAGTCCTTCCGAAGGAACCCATGCTCCACGCCTCCGCTGCTGGCGGGCTAGCTACAGCCAAAGGAACGAAAAGCGCATGTGAGACAGGACGGCATTTGCTGTATGGCACCAATTTTTTCTTTGTCGTAGACATCCAAACAATGTGAAAGATACACTGCAGTGACGTTCAGCGTGGTAGCCATATACCGACGTGAACGCGCACCAGGGGAGTCAAAGTTTGTGTCCCTTTACCATTTGCTTCTCCAAGCGAGCGCTGTCGGGCCCTGCGGAGAAGCTGCCCCATCCCGTCATCATGATGACGGGCGAGGCTGTTGACGTAATGCAGGGTGTGTGATCAGATGCCCTTCCCGGCCGATGCCAACCCAACCCTCCGGGCACGACTTGCCGACCGGTGCCGACGCCGCTCACGACTGGAGTTGCTCCAGAGAGGGCTCAGGCACAGACAGCATCCAACCGGCCACCGAGGCGGGCTGCGTTATGGGGGCCATCGACGCGCAAAGGGTGCTCACCAGGAGGGCGCAGAAGACCAGGGCCAGTCTCGCCGCCTCCTGCATTGTGCTCGATTGTCACCGAGGATCGGAAGTCCCCGGTCTGTCTCCTGTGATCCAAGCTGTAGGGGCGAATGAAAACGCGATCATGAGAACGGGGCGCTGTTCGCCGCCAGCGTTGGCCGCACCAGGGGCGGCGGGCAGCGAACACCGCGTGCGCAGGTCGCGAATGGAGAGGCCAAAACTAGGAAAGATCGCAAGGAGTTTTGAAAGCGGGGAGCGGAAAACACGGGCGGTCGCGCCTGGGGGATGGGGGCGGGCGTGTCCAGCCCACTCCACCCACGGCACTCCCAGTCACGCTCGTCCCGTCAATCACATTCAGCCACGCCCGAACACGATGGTTCCGGGGCGTCCTTCGATCCCTGCCGCTGCTCGTGCCCTTCGTTCCGTGCGCTTGAAAGAGTGGAAATTTCCACGCCCGTTCCGCAGTTCGACTGTGCGCAGGCGTGCATGGAAATTGCCGGTCAGTGCCATGCACGCACGGGAAGGGCGCAGCACCAGAATGTCGCGGATGGCGCAACCGGCAAGGCGCTCGGCCGGCCTTACCTGAACGCCAGCGACGCCGGAGTCCGGGTTTCCGCAGTCGACGGGCTCTTTCAGAGGGGGGGGCCGCAACAGCTCGAGTGTTCAGGCCACCGCAGCGTCGAGCTATATACGACCCCGCCAAGTCGACCGGCGAGAGCCAACTGGTACGGTATTGCGGTAAACGCCACCGACCCCCGTTGATCTCCCCGTATCTCACCCGTACAGCTCAGCGGTGGAAAGCGAGTACCGATTGAACTGTACATGAGAGCGGGTCAGTGCGTTTTGCTTGCGTAATCGTTGCCGCGCAGGCGAGCCCTCGCAATGCGCTTCGCATGACAGACGCTGGCCACGAGCCGAGCAAGAGTGTGACCACGGCGCACCATCTCTGGAGTTGGCATCTGGACCGCTGGGCCTGCTGTGTTTGGCGGCAAGCATGTCCACATCGGTGTGAGGAATTCCTGCTCGTGTTCGAACGTGGGGCAGCTGCCGTTGCGCCTGGTGGGTACCCTCATGTTCTTCGGATGGCAGACATCCAGTGCACCGCGCCGACGATGTAGGGGGCTGTATCTGCGGCGCAGCTGCGCGCCTGAACGCCTTTTGACACGGCACGGCAACGGCCGCTCGCCCGCGCTGCCAATCGCCGCCTGGCAGGGGCCGCACGAGGTGCACAGCACCAAAAAGGAAAGTACTCTTTGTCTGGTTGAGCGGGTATAATCGCAGCTCGACTCCCTCGAATACCCTTCTGGACCGCTGCCCCACGCTTGTAGGCATTGTATCACTGTACACACTGGCAAAGAATTGCCCATTTCACTCAGTTGCTTTCCGCTCTTCAGCAGTGCGAAGTTGCGAAAGTCGTGGATCAGTGATACTGCTGCATACCTCGATTGGGTGTTGCCACATGGTGTTTGATGTCATGACAAAAGATGGATACGTTAACTGTTACCGAGTAGCCAAAAGGGGCCCATTTGCGCTGATGCTGTCTCTTTCCACGCCATGTGACCCCTTGCAATGAGCCACAAGGTGTTCTGGCCAGAACATGACAGCTGGATGAGATGGAATGTCACCCACACCCCCTTTGCTGCCTTCTCCCTACGTCTGGGGAGTAGGTTGCCACTGCCAGGCAGACTCGTGCGACCGCAACTTCACAACACTTGAGCGTTGCTTGATCATGAAGCCTCAGGCAGCAAAGGTGTTTATTTAGCGGAAATGCCACACAATGAATCCCAGACATGTACCCACAATGGAGCGTGAGCCAGTCCCTGCCGATTCCCCATTTCTCTGTCTCCCCTTCCGCTAGAAAAAACTGTTCACCAGCATACCCATCTCCCACACATTGAATGTGCACAGGAAGTGGTAGGGTACTTCCAGAACTTATGCAAAAACCTTCCCACAGTCTACAAACGTTGAGGCCTTGCAAGCAAAATTGTTCAACTGGCCTTCGTTCATTTTCAGTGAAAACTAATTTATGAAATTCGCGCGCTATTTTTCCAAGCACTGATTTAAACGGCCGCCCATCAACGTCCCAAGTTGACAAATTGGCGGTTCCGCACTTGGATTCCTACGACCTGAAACTTGAAAACTTGACAATGAGAATAACAACTTGAAACTTAAGAACACATTCCGGATGCGCTATTTTACTCTCCCCATCGACGAGTGCTCACGGCACCAGCACTGCGGCACACCCTGTGTGCCGCAAAGGGGCCCACGGCCCCCCACGCTCGCCCAAGCGCCAACCCTCCCCTTGCGCGCCCGCCGCGGGCCACCGCCCCGCCGCGATGGACATCGACCCCGATCCGTCTGCAGTCCCGGACGGTCATGATCCCGCCGCCCTCACGCGGCCGATCAAGAGCCTCTCCGAAAAGTACCGCCTGGTGCCGGCCTTCCTCAAAGTGCGCGGCCTGGTGCGCCAGCACATCGACTCCTACAACCACCTGGTGAACCACGAGATCAAGAAGATCGTGCGGGCGGCGTCCAACAACAAGGTCACCGTGGCCTGCGACCCGAATTTTTACCTGAGGTATTTGGACGTGCACGTGGGGAGGCCGAGCGTGGAGGAGGACTATCGCACGCGGCCCATCACGCCGCACCAGTGCAGGCTGAGGGACGTGACGTACTCGGCGCCGGTGACGGTGGACATCGAGTACACGCGTGGGAAGGTGAGGGGACTGGATTGGGGCATTTTTTCCTTTTTTTCTTTTTTTTGCTTTTATTTTGGGGCATTGCTTTCTTGTAACTTTTGTTTATTCCAAAATATTGCACCACTTGTTGGTGGCCAGGTGCCTTCCCCCGTCCTATCACAAGATATCCGGGCCTTGTGCCACCTAGCAAGAGAATGCAAGGCGATGTAAAGCACCCAAATTGTTCGAAACGGCATTGGGTTTAAAAATTGCTGGGCAGCTGGAGGCTTGCTCTGGAGTGTGGTTCTTGTTGGGCTTTTGGCCTGTGTGTAGAGCACCCAGGTGTGAGGAATCGAGGCGCATTAAGGGGTCGGTGGTATTCTATCAATGCAATTCTGAATTGCTGGATTGGCAATGGCTGGACATGAGGTTTGCAAAGCCGTTGCGCACAAAATTAGGGATTGACACGCGTCTGTTGCCACCGACAGTGACCTTTGTTGCATTCTTCTCAGTTGTTCCCCATTCTGAATGAATTAAGGCCCAGAAAGGAATTATAGTGATATGCCAACAGCCACAATGTATAGCAGTGACACTCTGGAACGCCTCACATGGTGGCAGGCTTGGTGACCTGTGAGGCACTTACAGATTGTTAGTCAAAGTGTTGCTGTCTGATGATCCACAAACATGCGCCATAACCAATGCGTCTCTCCATTTTTTTGTCATGAGCATATTTTGTAGTAGCCATTGACTTCCTTGATTTCCGTTTTCCATACCATATGGGCTAAGGCTCTGGCACTAGTAGGCTGCACTGTGGGGATAAGTTGTCTGGCAACATTCACCTGCCAGAAATCCACTGTGAAAGCACTTGTCATGGAATGTGACCAAGCAGTATTCTTGATGCTCATCCCAACCATGAGTGTATTGTCCCTGACTGGTGCAGTTCCCCTTCACTAATTGGCAGCCCTAAAGCTGTTGGATGGCATGTTCTTGCAACGGACAAAAAAGGGGAGTTGGGGAAGGTAGGCATGCGTTCGCCTGTGGATTAATGTGTTTGCATCTGTAGTGTTTAAAAAGAACAGCATTGGATGCCATCCCCACCCCCAACCTCAAACTGCAGAAAATAGAGCACTTCCAAGGTGAAAACAATGGCCACCTGCACAGCCAGAACCCTTGCACTCCTCAAGCATCTGTGTAGCCACAATTGCCCCTAGTGCCAACAAACTCCAGTATGCATGTAGACAAACAAATTCTCCTTGGAGATTCCCACGTGTGCACCGGTGCCCCTCATAGCCTGCAAAGTGCTTGTGCCAAGGTTTCATCTCTCAGGGGCAAGTGTGAGCTTGTGTTGTCTTGCGATGGAAATGCCAAAGTGCTCATTGCAGAAGCATGCCCACATCTGTGCATTCTAGCAGGTCAGTGAATAGCTGCACGTTGTGTGACTACAGGAGATCGTGGTTAAGCGGGGAAAGCGCGGCGAGGGAGCAGTGCAGATTGGACGAATTCCTGTTATGCTGAGGTCTGCCAAGTGCGTTCTGGCAGGCAAGGGTGGGCTGGGAGTGGGGTGATGTATATAGTGTTTTATTTTGTTGACTCAGCAAGAACATTCCTCATTTGGAGGGTGCTGTTGTTCTGTTTGTGATAGTGTTTGGTGGGCATGGGATAGCACTTGGAAAATGGCCTATTGTTGATATTTTCTAATTGCATCACGCCATATATTGGTATTAACAGACATGAAGTGAAACAGGTCAAGTGAGGAGCAGCCCCTCTGCCAATTGGACGAAATTGAGCGGCGTTTGGTGACATATTTCACAAATCACAAATGGTATTGTTTTGCTGCAATACCACTGAAAAGGCTGAGGTGCAGTGCCATGTGGCAGTAAATGCTCTTGATACAAATTTCTGCTTACGAGTCGACTTTCCCCAACCAAAAAGGATTTTAAATGCCACCCTCTTTGATTTTCATTCTTTTGTTCGAGCATGCTATGTTCGTGTCTCACATGCCATTTCTTTCTTACATTCTCCAGTTCTACATTTCATTCAGTCATGCTCCTGCAGGCAAGTCAGAACATGAGCTGGCGAAGCTTGATGAGTGCCCCTTGGACCCTGGGGGCTACTTCATCGTCAGGGGAACAGAGAAGGTGATCCTCATCCAGGAGAACATGCTGAAGAACCGCATCATAATCGACTTTGACAGCAATGGGGAGGTGAAGGCCACGCTTGCCAGTGCCACGCATGACAGGAAGTCAGTGACCAATGTGATGTTCACCAAGGTATGTTGTGCTCTTGAACTGGAACTGAACCGAACCTATGTCGCTCCGGTGAAACGGCAAAAAGCCGTGTCATGCATTGCAAGTCTAGCTCTTCAGGGAATCAAGTAGCACTGTGGGAGCTGGCAGCTGGGCACTTAGGAGCAAACAGGAGAGCACTGGCTCACAAAAGCAGTCAGCCCATGAACCAAAGTTCGGAGCCCTTCTAAAACATTGTGATTAGCATAAGCAGGTCAGGACAATACACTGGTGAAACACGTAATGCCTTCATCGGCGTAGGAGTGCCTGAGCTTGGTATTGAATAAGCAAGATCAAAAGAGTACACTTATGTGCACTTAAATTTTGGCCGTGCTTTTCTTGTTTACACGTTCTCATTTGTTGTTGCGATGGCATGTTTCTGCTCCTGCCCTGACAGGAAAGTTGATTGTGAAAATTGCTGCAATAGCTATGGCATCAGCACAAACTCAACCACATCGTTTTTTTAGAGGTTAGATGAAAAGTACAAGTTGGACAGTGGAATTGCCAAAGTAAGATTGACACCAATTGGACAGGTTTCGGAAATGCTATTCTGCCAATAAGTGCTATGGCTGCAACAGTGCCTGTCACCACCTGCAGCACACGTTGGCACTGTACTGTCCCATACCGCCTGTTGTGATCCATCCAGAATCCAAAGGCGCTACTTGGGGAATGTGGGACGCAAGCCCAGCCCCTCATTTCCTTGTAGATTCTTGGGCATGTTCTTTCCGATCGGACAAGACATTCAGATGTTTGACACACAAAGTGGTCCACTCTGCTCAAGGGCCGATTCAACGTGAAGATCAACCTCTTCTCGGAGGAAGTGAACGCCGCGGTTGTGTTCAAGGCCATGGGGGTGGTGAGCGATCAGGAGATCGTCCAGCTGGTGGGCCACGAGGGGATCATTGCGTCCCACATCGCTCCCACCCTGCACCACGCCCACGAGCTTGGCATCTTCACACAGCAGCAGGCCCTCACGTACATTGGCAACAGGTAGGTGAGCATGCGCATGGGAATGGGAGACAGTGGCACAGACAACCAAATTTTTTGCAGAATGTTCTTGCATGAAGATGTTGTTTTAGAAATGGTGTTTTTGTGTTGGCAGCAAGCAGTAGAAGCTTGTGTGCACATGCTTTCGTGCACAGTCTCAACTCCTCCCTTCTCATTGGCTGATGGGTGCAAAGCCTGCTCAGGCGACGTGCAGTTTTTGTTGCATCTCAGATACTTGTGATGCAGTTATAACAACTCAGTGAAGCATTAGAAGTTCAAGGGAATTGGAAGTCAGCAGCACACAAACGGATTCCAGCATGCATCAGTTTTAGTTGTAGATGGCGTTTGTGCAGATCACATTCAGAACGGTATGTGTGCGGACTCAGGTCCCCTCTTGCGTTGTGTTATAGGGCAGTGCTTTGTCATTCCTGGACCTTGAAATCGACAAGCAAGCAATATGGACAGGCTGTTGATCTATATTGCTGTTGGTTAGCAGCATCTTATCTCATGTCACCACAAGGTCATACCCAAACTTGTTGATGACAAATATCAACATTGTTGAAAACAGAGCAACAGCTTACTGAAGGATGCATACGTTGGTGACAGAATCCGCCAGTCGCCAAAGCAGCAGCTTAAAGGCTGGAAGCGCTCCAAGGCAGACGAGGCTCGCGACGTGCTGGCCAACGTGCTGCTCTGCCACGTACCGATGAAGCGATTCAATTTTGAGCACAAGGTAACATTCCTTGGCTGCTGCAATACTGTCAAGCAGTTTCTGCCTTTTTTCCTTTCCACAGTCCTCTGAGACAATCCTTTTTTATTTTATGCTTCTGGTATGGAGATCAAGGGAACTTGTGGTTCTCAATGACCCATTTCAATGCAATTGACTCAATTGCAAATACAGCCATAACTAACGATGACAGCAGTCGCGTTGATACTGTCATGTAATTGATTGATTGAAGGTGACTTTTCTGGGGCTCACAATCCGGAGGATGATATCTGCCCAGCTGGACCCCTCACTGGTGGACAGCAAGGATTACTATGGCAACAAGAGGCTGGAGCTGGCGGGCAACCTGCTTGCTCTGCTCTTTGAGGACCTGTTCAAAAGGTTAGTCGTCTGTGCTTCCTGTCTCAGAGAATGGTAGTACGGCCAAAGGTCAAGCAGGAATGGTACAATCGTCAAGTCGCCCTTATTGAGCTGCTGGCTCAGTACTTTAGGCGTACCTGATCATACTGTAATGTACTGCATCATTGCGTTTCCATGACCTGACTGTCGCTTGTTGACATTGACAGCACGGCCATGAGTGCATGTTGGAACTGGAGTAGTACAACATCCATCAAGATTTGATCGGCAATGGGTGCAGTATTTGATGAGTATCAGCAACAGTGCAGTACTTTGGCGTGATTTACTGCCAGCTCCGTCTTTTTGGCAAGCAATTTGAAGCAGCGATCCTCGTACTCTTTTGGAAGCAAAGCACAAGCCAAGTGGTCGCCTGCATGTTCGATCCATCAGTGTGCTGAATACAACAATGCGCTGCATCGCTTCTCAGTCATTGTCGTCGCCAACAGCCCTGACGATCCAGAAGGAGACTGGCAGATGGAGGGGCATACATGTGTTGCTGGATTAGAGCGATTGTGGGGAATTTTTCACTATCGCACAGGGATGGTCTGGAATCGAACAATGATCTGGAATAGCTAGCATTCATCGCCTGGGTGCTCGCAGCCTACATTCAGCACACTGCTGACGATTTAAGGATGCTTTTCACGATTTGCCAGAATCAGCTAGGATTTGGTTGACTCTATCCATATTAACATGCCTTGATCATCACTAGTTTTACCCGATTGGCTCAACTTTGTTGTTTCTACCAAAACAGCTACAACTCCATATACACTGTATGGACATTGTTGATATATCCTTTTCCAGCGTGCGTGCTCAAGGGCGACTTCCTGTTGTTCAGGCTAAACTGGGAGCTGATGCGCCAGGCGGATAGCACGCTGTCCAAGTCGAACAGGGCGGGCATGTTTGACATATCACGGTCCATTCGCCAGGACGTGATCACGCACGGCTTCGAGCACTCTTTGGCGAGCGGCAACTGGAACATAAAGCGCTTCAAGGTGGATCTCTTCGGGCAGTTCTTCACAGTTCGCTTGCGCTCTTTCTCTGTCAATGCCCTGTGGCTTCTTCCCTCTGCATGTTATTGGGGGATGCTTAAGTAGCCTGCATGACCAAGTTGCTTGGTTCATCAGCTACTGTTCATCAGCGTTTGTGTTTTGTGTGTTGATGGATTGCCAGCCTGATCCATTGATCACTCGATTTAGTGATTTTAATTTAGATTAGGATTTGACATTGGCTTTGACTGTGATTTTGACCGTTTGTTTTATTGATTCTGATTTGGATTTTGAGTGTTTGTTGGCCTCGCTGATTTTGACGTTTAGGACAACATTATTCCGTTGACTGCGTGATCTATCCATGGATCTTTGTTCCATCCATGCACACTGATGAGCTGCTGCGTCAATTCCCCAAGGTGGAGCGCAAGGGCGTGAGCCAGGTCCTCTCCCGCCTGTCCTTCATCGCCGCCTTCGGCATGATGACCCGCGTGACCAGCAACGTGGACAAGGGCCTCAAGCTGGCGGGCCCTCGGGCCCTCCACCCCGCCCAGTGGGGCATGCTCTGTCCTGCCGACACGCCCGAGGGGGAGGGTTGCGGCCTCACCAAAAACCTCGCCCTCCTCACCCACGTGACAAACGACGATGAAGAGGATCCCCTTACCCGCCTGGCTTACATTTTCGGTGTGGAGCCATGGGGTTTGATCAGAGGCACTGATCTGGCGCGAGCGGGTGCGATCATTGTGATGCTCAATGGCAATGTACTGGGCGTCCACCGCAGGCCCAGGAGCTTCATCAACGCCTTCCGCGCGCTTCGAAGAGCAGGCAGGGTGGGGGAATTCGTGAGCATCTCGATCAAGCACGAGTGCATCCTGATCTCCTGCGACGGCGGGCGTGTCTGCCGCCCGCTGATCATCTGCGACGCCGGGGTGCCGAGAGTCCGGCAGGAGCACATCGAGGCGGTGAAAGCGGGGAAGATGGACTTCAATGACTTCCTGCGCCGGGGACTGATCGAGTACCTGGACGTCAACGAGGAGAACGATTGCAACATCGCGCTGGATGAGAAGTTCTGTGGGCCACTGACAACGCACCTTGAGGTGGAGCCCTTCACGATCCTTGGCGTGGTGGCGGGCCTGGTACCCTACCCGCACCACAACCAGTCGCCGCGCAACACGTACCAGTGCGCCATGGGCAAGCAGGCCATGGGCAACATCGCCTTCAACCAGCTCAAGCGCATGGACACCCTGTTGTACCTCCTGTGCTACCCGCAGCGGCCGCTGCTCACTACACAAACTATCGAACTCGTGGGGTTCGACAGGCTGGGTGCTGGGCAGAACGCCGTTGTTGCGGTCATGAGCTACAGCGGATACGATATTGAAGACGCCATAGTGATGAACAAGGCGGGGCTGGACCGGGGGTTTGGGCGGTGCATCGTGTTGCGGAAGTACGGCGCCAACGTGAAGCGGTACATGAACCGGACCATGGACCAGATACGGGGGCCGCCACTGGAGGCCGGGGGCACGGGGACCGCCCTGCACAGGTGAGGGTCCAGTGCACCGTAGTATATTCAACCCCTCCGCATGTTGAAATTTCAGCGTTGTAATTTTTGCTCTGCACTTTTGCAACAGACCGTTATTTTGGGAGCTCCGCACCATGGTCACCGGAAAGGTGCCTCTGCTCAATTGGCATGGCTTCAAATGTCGATTTCTGTCATCGCGGCTCATGCATCTGGGGCTGCTAGATGGTGTTTGCAGTGGAATGATCTCAGAGTGTCAATAGCGAATGCTGAGTGAAGACCACCAGGAGGGTTAGCATATTTTGATTTCGAAAATGCAGTAGTTGGGAACAAAACAAGGCTGATAGATTAGGACTGGAGCTGAGAAGATAGTGTCAGCAGTGTCCAACTTTCTTAGTGTGCGGCACAGAAAGGGGTTCAAAGGGTACTTTTCAAGGTGCCTTGCATTGCGTTTATCAAAAGCGTCTCTTAGTTTGCAGCACTTTACGAAACTGTTGGGCATGGGCACAGATATCGAGTGCTGGAGTCTGATGGCCTGCCAGCAGTGGGCGAGCGCATTGGCCAGGGGGACGTCTTCATCAACAAGTTCGTGCCACGCAACACGCGGGACACTCTGGCAAATCCCCTTTCCATGGGCGAGAACTTTTACAAGGCGCGTGCGGAGACCTTCAAGTGTGGGCCTGGAGAGCAGTACATCGTGGACAGGGTGCTGCTCACAGAGAACGAGGACAGCCCAATCTGCATCAAGGTGGGACCTGTGGCCCTTCTCGCACCTTTTCTAACATCACTTGCAGGATGTGACAGGTTTGTCTCTTCACTAATAACGTGCTCAAGAGGGTTCATGACGGCATCAGTGTGATGACATTATCATTTCTATGATTGCAACCCCCGGCTAAAAGGACGAATGCCACCAGTCTGGCATTGTAAAACCACCTTGGCTTTGGTTACACATTGGTTGCTGGGTTCCTTTTTTTTGCTGATGTTGTTCAGTTAAATTTTTCGGATCGTTCACTCCCCATGTTCGTGTCCTGAAGGTGTTGATGCGACACACCCGCGTCCCAGAGCTGGGCGATAAGTTCAGCAGCCGGCACGGGCAGAAGGGCGTGGTGGGCAACATCGTGAGCCAGGAAGACATGCCCTTTGGCGAGAATGGCATCTGTCCTGACCTCATCATGAACCCCCACGGCTTCCCCAGCCGCATGACCGTCGGCAAGATGATCGAGCTGATCGGCAGCAAGGCTGCCGTGCTGTCCGGCCGCTTCCACAGCGGCACAGCCTTTGGCGAGCCCACCGGGCTGGCCAGCAGCGTGGCAGAGATATCCGAGACCCTGGTGGCCCATGGCTTCAATTACTGCGGCAAAGATTTCCTCACGAGTGGGATCACTGGGGAGCCCCTGCAGGGGTACATCTTCATGGGGCCTGTGTACTACCAGAAGCTGAAACACATGGTGCTGGACAAGATGCACGCCAGGGCCAGGGGGCCCAGGATGGTGCTCACCCGGCAGCCTACAGAGGGCCGCAGCAGGGACGGTGGCCTGAGGCTGGGGGAGATGGAGCGCGACTGCCTGATCGCCTACGGCGCCAGCATGCTGCTGCTGGAGCGGCTGATGATCAGCAGCGACAAGTTCGAGGTGCACGTGGACACCAGGAGCGGGTTGCTGGGGTACTACAGCGCATCCCGGGGTTGTGCGGTGTCGCCGCTGGACAAGTCGTCCAAGCACATGGCCAGCCTGACGATCCCGTACGCCTGCAAGCTGCTGTTCCAGGAGCTGCAGGGGATGAACATTGTGCCGCGGCTGAGGCTGACGGACTTATAGCAGGGAGGGGCCGTTGGCGCCCCAGGAACGATGTGTTGTTGAACTCAACCTGCAGAAAGGACATGACAGGCAAATATGCCATGGCAGGCGAAATGGATTGAAAAATTTGTAGATTAGCAATATGCTTGAGTCAGGAGTGCAGCATGGAGCCGATGTCCACATTCACCCGAAGTGATATGCCATAGAATCACCAGCCACAACCTCCTAAATTGGTTGAGAAAGACGAAAGATAGGCGCCAGGCCGGAATCGCCTGTGCGAGGCGATTGGAAACCTGTGCCCCGGAGCGACACATTGTCGAAACCATCCCCCCCAAGGTCCAGAGTCAAAGGAACCCTTCTCAAGAGATGTTCTGGTGTAAGATTTGCACGTGAACGGAAGTGGACGTAGAAAGCTCTGCTGAATAATCTTGCGCTGGATACCCACAGCCTCTCGCGCTGTCAGCCCGGCTCGCTGTCCAGCGGTCCAGGTTTGTTAAGAAGAAGCACGCTGCGCACTTCTGGTCAGCCACCGATACGCGTTGAGGTCACACCGTTCCAGACATCCATGCGCATTTTGGACAACAAACACGTGGTGCAAGCCTGCAATCCGTCTATTGCGCGCAAGGGCAATGGCACAAGCACAAACAGCGAAGGGTTCGGCCCATTATGCGGCAGCGGGTCCAAGTCCGCTTGCCTGAGCCTCTCTGCGGGCATAAGGGCACCTCACTTCGCAGCTGTACCGTCCGGTACGCAGCACAACGAGACCCGAGGAGCACCCCCACGCATTCTCCAGCTCCGGCAACAGCGCACGGGCCCCTTTCACCGCCAAAAACTCCTTCCCACACGATCACACACACAGACACGCACTGCCAACGGAAAAAGAAAGGGCGACTGACTTCAGGCCAACAGCCGGGGTTACTAAAATTCCCGTCCAAAGAAAGTGTGGCTATTTCCATGCCGCGCCGGGCAGCGGGAACACAGTGAGGTGCACGCTGGGCAACATAGGCAGCTGCCGTCCACCTCCTTGCCTTGTCATGCAACATTTCATGACGAGAGAGTGCCCGCCCGCTTCGTAATTGCCTCCATCCGCGGCGCATCCCCCCCCCCCCCGTTTCTTCTCTCAATTTCCCCTATTCGTGGTGCATTTGTTGCGCGAATCTTCCTACCAGGGAGCCTTAACACCATCTTGCAGCACGGAAGACAGCCTCACGCGGTGTGAGTCACACCCATTTGCTTCGAAAGGGGCTGCCCTTTGAACGTGTTTTCTCTGTTTCGTAAACAAATCCTGCCCCCGCTTCGGAAGGCTGCCCTTTTCGGGACATATATGCTTTTTTAACGAATCTTGCGCCCTCTTCCCTCCCACCCACCCCCCCAAAAAAAGTGGCGGTGGAGCCCGCCCATTTCTTCCCTTGGCTCCCACCCGCCGCGGTGAAACAGCCTCCCCCACCGCACTGCTCCCCCCCCCTCCCCCCCCAAAAACCCCCTTCCCCCGAAAACTCCCCCCACCCACCCTCGTTTCTTCACCACCGCCACCATGCGGAGGGTCACGGGGATGCCGCAGAGCGTCGCCGGTGGCCGTCCGGTCCCCCGCGCCCCCCCCTCCCTCTGAGCCCCCCCTGGCCCCGCATGGGTGCCATCGGGCGGCCAGAGAATCGCCTCTCCGCACACACCCCACCCCTTAGGCTCTGAAATTGAACCCCCTGCCGGAGAATCTGAAAATCGTCTCGAGATGGCCACCGCATGGCAGCCCGCTTGCGCCGGTGTCCAGGACGGCTTCGCGTTTGCGCCCGTGGCGCGCTGGGGCCAGCCCGCGGCGCAAGACGGCATGCTGGCTCACGGATTGAGCGATGCGGTGCCGAGGCCGTGGGGCGTCGGCGGTGGATGCGGGGGCGCCGCGATCTCGGGCGGGCAGGGCTCCTGGGCGCGGGCCTGGGCGGGCGGCCTCGGCGGAGATGAGGGGCTGGCCAGATCGCAGGGCGGCGCTTGTGCCGGCAAGGGCGGAGGCTGTCGGGAGGGAGGCCAAGGAGCGGCGTGGGAGAGTCGGACGGCGCTGCCAGACTGCGACATGGAGGTGGGGGGGGCTGTAGCTGCGGCAGGGGGTGCTGAGGTTGGTGTTGGGGCGTTGGGGCCAGGGGGCGGGATGCCGGGGTCTGTGGGCGGTGGAGCGATCGACGGGCGTGTATGCATGTTGCTATGTGTTGCTGCAAGGGGGCGGGGGTGGGGGGGCGCGCGACGCTGCCGGCTGCCCGTGCTGTCGGACCACCCCGTTTCGATGCTGGACTCCGTCGCTTTTGGTCGAGGGACGCGCCCGATCCGGCGCTGCGCCCTCTGCTGTCCGTGCCGCACTTGCGCGGCCGGCGGCTGGGAGGAATCCGTCCGTTTTCTTGAGATGCGGGCAAGCCATGGCGCGGGCGTTTGGACGGGGGCGGGGGGGAGCACGGTCCCTCGCGGAGCTGCGGCTCTCGAAACGCGGCAGCTCGCCTCGCCGCGCCGCTTCTGCGCTCCCAGCTCGTCACTGCGGTTGACGGTGCCCGTGCTGCCGCCGCAGGACTCCCTCCTGGCCTGCGGCACGGCGCTCATGACCGCATTCTCGCGCGGCGATGCCCTGGCGGATCCCCCGGAGGCGGGAAGGGCGCTGGCCTGCTCGCCGGTGCTGACCGGCGGCGCCATGACGGCGGACATCGGCAGATGGGACCTGGTGCTGGGCAAGGGGCTGCCGAATTCATTCCTGGGCGGCCGCAGCGACACGCTGAGGAGCATTGCCACCCAGGGAGGGGAGGAGGAGGACGCGTATGTCGATTATGGGGGCTTTGATGAGGATGGCAGGCGGAGGCTGTTTTGTGAGGGCGGCACCCATGACAATAGTCGGGGGGCGCCCATGGGACAGGAATGGTTTCTGTCCAGATCGTCCTGGTCCAGTGAGGACGACCTGATCAGCATTGCGGGCAGCGAGGAGGGCGCGCAGCTTGGAATGGAGCGGCAGTGCTTGGAGCCGTTCGAGGCTCGCACACATGAAGGAATTGGGAGGTTTGGTGCCGCGGAGGGGGATGGGCAACTGATGGGCCCCGGAGATGGGGGCGCTGCTCGTGGTCGGGCTACCCGGGCGAGGGTGGAGGAGGCGTTTGGGGTGGAGTTTGGCATGGATTTGCACGTGCAGGATGGTTTTGGAGGGGGCAGGGCGTTGGGTCGGCTTGCCGGAGGCAACGAGGCGCAGCTCCGCAGGGGGCTCGGCCTCCAGCGCAAGAGCAGCACCGTGCTGACAGACCGGCGGTCCAACCAGATGATTCCTGGGCTGCTGCTCGGCGAGGACGTGCCCAGGCCCCAATTCCCATCCCTCACATCGGTGTTCGGATCTTGCAACAGCTCGAACAGGGCCTTCCTCTGCATGCCAGGCCCCGGGCACCGCCCGCACCTGCCGTCCCTGAACTCAATATTCGGGACGTGCGGCAGCTCCTGCATCTCATCCAGGCAGCCCCCACTGCCCTCGCTGACTTCGGTCTTCGGCTCGTGCAACGGGCGGTCGGCCGAGGGCAGGCACAGGCACAGGGCCAGGGGGCTGGAGGGTGGCCTCACGGAGTGCAGCGTGTGCCTCACAGTCTACTCGGATTTGGACCTTGAGGATGGGCTGGTGTTTGAGGGCAGCTATGGAGATGCTGCCGCGCTGGGAGGGGGGATGGCAAGTTTGGCATGCGTGGGGTGCAGCCCCGGGAGAGACGAGCAGGGCTGCAATAGCATTAGGGATGAGGGCTGCACGATGCTGAGGGAGGGGGCAGACCACCCCTACTTCGATGCGGAGTGGAACCTGATTCCGATGCTGAACGAACTGTGGGGAGAGGAGGCTGATGATGGTGAGTCGCTGCGTTTTGCGCCTTGAGCCTGCTGTCCCAAAATCTACTTTGGTTGCACAACGTTGGTTGCTTTGGTGAGAATGACAGATCACTGCCGTTTGCATCTCTTGAGGAAATGTGGGGACCTCATTTGTGGATATATAAATTGCCACCACCTGGCCTTTTTTTTGTGCAGCAGGTCATGCCATCTTGTTGCCCAGAAAGGTCATGTTGAGTGTGTAAAAGAGTGCTTGTGTTGCAGTGAGGCAGTTGTTGCGCCTGTCAGACAATCAGGCTTTGAGCTGTGGAGAAATGCACAGAGTGTGATGTTGTTTGGCCATTCTTGTGTTGTTGCATTTCGTGTGAAAGTTGAAAAACCCCAAATTAAATAGTGTCTGTGCCCTGCCAGTCGATCTCCTGTGTGCCTTCAGCCTGGAATTTTATCCCCTCATGGGGCAGGAATACTGTACCTTGAAGCTTTGTGTACGTGTGTGTGTGTGTGTGTTTGTGTGCAGTGCCCAAGAAACGGGCAACAATCAAAGCAAAGGTTTTGTACCAAGCTTTGAAGAATGTGCCTTTGGTTCCACAACAGCACGTGCTGTCAATCAGGAACCTTGGCGAAGGGTCGTATGGCCGGGTGGCCCTTGGGTTTTGTCCCGGTTTGGGAGAAATTGCTGTGAAATGGAACAAGGTATGATTGGTGCTGTGGTGCGAGCAATGTCCCTGGCATGTCACTCACAACCATCAGTTTTGCTCATTGTGCTGGATAGCTGATAAAGACAACTGTTTTTCATTAGAAGAACAACAAAACATCAGAGTCTGGGCAGCAGGGAGGAAACACAATATGCTGTTTGCTGTGCTGTGCAGGCGGATGATAGACCCACGAATAGCCTGGAGTTCCAGCACGAAGCGGCGATGCTGGCAACGCTGAACCACCCCAATGTCATGGGGCTGCTGGGCCTTGTCACACGATCAGCTTCGGAGGGAGAGGTGGTGGGATTCATGACTGAGTTTGCGCCCTATGGCACGCTGTCGGCGTACATAAGGTATAAGCTTATGTTTTTGTATCAGCAATGGGCAGTGGTACAATTTGCACCAATGCAGCATCACATGTGCACGGTATGGATTGTTTGTTGTTCTGAATGTTGGGTTGCTTGCCATTTTGGCATGGTTGGGATTTGTGAGCTGGGGAATATGCATGCACAGGCATTCCTTGCTGTACCATTAGGTAAAGTGTGAGCCAATGTGCACCAAGGCTTTTGACAAGCAGAATGCAGGCAGTGTCAGCTCAATAATGTGTGGAATCTGATATGCATGAGCTGAGCTGCTGTGGGTATATGGTTGTACTGTGGAAGTGAAGAAGCAACTACAAGCAGCACTGGGCCTCAGCTGGGCGCATCGTTGCTGTAAATGTTGTCCTGCCCAAGTGGGTGAAGTGCGCTTGCTACAGGTTTCACCCCCTAATGGCACCTATCGTTCACCTCGGCACCGGCAGCACAGGCCCTTGGTATTTTGTGGTGCCTACATGGAACTGTGTGAATGGAGTTGGTGAACTGGCCGCCGCCTCAATCAATGGGCTGGTGGTTCTGTCTTGCCCAAACGCACAAAACCCCAGCTGGCTGGTGGCCAACTTTTGCTCATTCAATTGGATTGATAGGATGGCAGTTAAGCATCCAAAGCTGAACAGGACATGGCTGACCCTGAACTTGGCATTCTGATCAAGTGGTTACTTTTTGTGCTTTGAAGCACATGGGTGCAAATGTTATCATGCTGCAGAGAAACACACTGTTTCATAATTTTTGTGGCATTGAGTCTTGCGCTATGTACACACATGTATGAGTACAGGCCCACTGTGTTGCATGGTATATAACTGGCACACGCCAACTTTTGTGTGGGATTGCAGTTCACTGTAGCCAGTGCGGCCTGACCTGGCCCTTGAAGAACGTTCAAGGCAATGCAAAGCCCTGCTGGTGTGTGACTATGCAACACAATCTTTCATTTGCATAAGATACAGAAAAGATGTATGATATTATGTGGGTATGACATTGTTACATACATGTTGCATGGAATGGACAGCACCAATGATGTAAAGATCCTGACCTGTTGTGTTGTGGGTGCCACAGGCGGACGAGGCGTGTCCTTCCCCTGAAGGAGAGGCTATTCTTGGCTTTGCAGGTTGCACGCGGCATGGCGTTCATCCATTCCTGCGATGCGGTGCATTTTGACCTCAAGCCAGACAATGTGCTGGTGCAGAGGGGCCATGAGCAGGACCCCCTGCTGAAGGTGAGGAAGCTGATTGCGTGTTGTCACTTTGGGCTCATATGAACTTCTTAGCTCTTTCATAGCTTGTTTTTGGGGTTGGGGGTACAAATGACATTAATATCACTAGCCAGATACTGGTTTTCTTCGCTTGCTTCTCAGCATGCGCTGTTGGCAAAAGGATCACGACTTTTGGGAAAAAAAACATGGCGCTGACTGAGTGTCCCCAAGTAGGATACCCTCCCGAAGATGAACTACTACTCGACTATGCTCATGAACAAATCAAGCTGAGACAAGTGACTAGGTATTGTCTCATTTCATTCGATGCCGTTTCTAAATGAGTTGTCCCAGAGTATCTCCTGTTGAAGGCGACTGAGCCAGCTCCGCAGTCGCACTGTGGGTTCACTAGCAGCTGGTGCTTTGGTGGTCAGATTGCCCTAACAACGAATGAGCGTACAACATGGAGCAGGCAGGCGACAACTCTGTTGGCCTCCTGGTGCATATCAGTCTATTGTCATAGCAAAGTAATCCTTAGAGGGAGTTGTGTACATCAATCACCTCGTTTCGTACACTCCCTTATCATCTGTGTAAATCTTGTCCATTGTTCGAAGGAAACGATTGACAAATGAAGAAGCTAAATACTCATGTCTGTTCATGGAATTTTTTGCATCCTTGCATAGGAATTGTCTTTGACTCTTGCAAGATAATAGAAGGAAAATAAGTAAATAGCTCGTATTCCGTGTCCTGCTTCATCTAATATCGCAGATATGTTTGCTCTTGAATCATCACTGATCTCCTGGATGTGAACAGATCATGTCATGGAGAAGCAGTCTAGGATTTCGCGGGTGCAAATGGACCATGTCTCACTTAAACTAATCTCACAAATGGATGGAATCCTCAACGAATACCATACAAACGAGTACAGAACTTATACTGATGGTTGAACGATGCACGTCTCAATTCACCTTCGCAGCCTTGTGTTCATATAATTTCCTGTCAGCTATTTGTGAATAATGACACTGCACAACCTTTGCATTGGCCAGCGACGACAGATACGAGTGGTCATGCAGATTGTTTTGTGCGATTCCCACGGGTGCCTCTGCAAAGCCAGATTTACAATCTTCCACTCCGTTGGCAGATTGCAGAGCTCCAGTTTCCCTGCTGAGGGTGGCTGAAATCCTTGGGAAGCCATTGCCAACACCGTGCAAAACCCTCCAGTTAACATGCACGCATGGCTTTATGCTTGCAAAGTCTGTATTGGGCCTTTTTGCCCACAATGCCACAGTGCCACACGTTTCCACTTTCCACAGCACAGTGTTTGAGTTGAAGAGAGGGATACATGCAGATTGATAGGAAGAGCCAGCTTCATGCACAGCCCGCCACTTCCTGGTTGTTCCCACAGCTGGGTGTGGTCATGTTCTGCACAGCATTCGTGTCATTTTGCGTAAGAAAGAGATTGAGAAGAAAATGGTTATAGCAATACTGTACAGTATGTGCGATAGAAAAATTCTTAAGAACATTGAGGTTTGTACTGGGCCAAACCATTAATCAGTCCGTCTTGCACCCAAGTTGACTGAAAGGGTGTTAATGAGCATGATCGAGGATTAATGACGGTGGTCCATTTCCCGCTTTGGAAGGTGGCGGACTTGGGGCTGGCACGTTGGAAGGTGGACGGCATGGTGAAGGCACCGGGTTCCCTGCGTGGCACACTGCCGTACATGGCGCCAGAGCTCGTGTGCGATGTGCCGCTGGTGTCGGACAAGGTGGACGTCTGGGCGTTCGGCTGCATGCTGCAGGTGCGCTGTTTTTGTTGGTTAGTAGCATTCCATGGTGCATTTCCCTGTATTACCTTTTAGACAGTGTGTCTGGTCAGTATCTGGCAGTATCTGGCAGTATCTGGCAGTTGATTGAACATAGAGTTGTGTTGCTGTTTTAGCATGAGTTCCATGCATGAAGCTACATCGGGGCTTCAAGGATGCCTTGTTTCAAGACCGCCGTTTGTCGTTGCTGCTGGGAACACATTCTCAATCACATCGTTTTTCTTCACGATTGCGATTCTCATGAGGAAGATGGCGATGGTGAATCAAATGGAAGCATTAAAAACAGCAAAAGTCTGACATTGATGCCAAGCAAATCAGAACAGCAGAGGTTCAATGAGGTTGTTGTTTCGCTGTGCAGGAGATGGCCACGCTAGAAGTGCCCTATTCGGACATGCTGTCCGAGGAGATTGTGATGGGCCTGATGGAGGGCTGGCTGCAGCCCCCCATACCCATGTGCGAGCCCGAGTGGCAGGGCCTGTTGGAGCAGTGCCTGGCCTTTGCTCCGCAGAGCAGGCCGAGCTTCGAGGAACTGTCCTGCCGCATCGCGGCGCTGCACAATGCCTGTTGAATGATAGGCGTCGCGCAATAACCCTGGCGCTTCGGGACCCGTTTTTGATGCGCCAGGGGCAGTGTGAAGACCCCGCTTCGAGTGCCCAGTCGCGGCTGTTTTGCCCAGCTGGGCCCTCGTCGTTGGCTGCGCACTGAATTGCTAGTGGCGTAATGGTGGCCAAAAAAAGAAGATCTGAGTTTTTATGCATTTGTGTTCCAGGGGTGGGCTGTGGAAACTGTGAGAAAAAAATGTGTTTGTGTGTGCGTGTGGGTGGTCTCGGTGGAGTGGGCCGCAGGGCTTTTCCTGCGGCGCCCTGTGGAGAGATCGCGCTGGGGCCTTGGGCCCTCTTGGGATGTGACCATCCTGGTCCCGGGTGGGGTGGCTTTTCTTTATTGGGATCATCGCCTGTCGTGAGAATCAAAGTGGAGCGCGTCCCTTAGCACAAAGCACAGTGAATTGCGCGACTCCTGTCCAATGATTGTGTGGTGTCTGTAATTCAAGGAAGGCTTTGATCCATTGCAGTTGTGCTGCGGTGTGGCCTGTGACGGCGGTCTTATGCGCCATGTTGAGTTGGCATCGATTTTGCGATTGTGCGCCCATGGCTGTTACTGCAGCTTTTCCGAATCTGACCAAGTCGTGCTGTTGTTCTCCGTGGTGAGCCTCTCCTGCATTAGCAATGGAATGGCGGGATGGCACATGAATGTGTATGTTCAGAAAGGCGCCTCTTTTATGTTGACAGCAATTATTAGCAAGATTATTATTGCTGTTGCTGTTGTCATTGTATGTCGCCGTTACTGGCAAATGTTGACATCCGCATTCGGAATCTGAATGCACGTGAATACGAATGTCGATGTGCAGTGCGACTTGGCATCAATGAGTGCAGCAGTTGGCGCCCGCTTCACATGTCCCCTGGTCTTGTCCAACCCGTGCCCAACACCTTCCGCAAAACGGCGGCATGATCATCGGAGTTAATGCAAGTGAAAGTCAAAAACTTGGGCTCGGACATTGATGACAATTGCGTCCTATGGGACGTACATGCCTTTGGTACACACTCTCACCCGCCGTCCCAACCACTCCCGGTTTCTTGCAACAATGAGGCGACACACCCCATCAAAAACCGGTCAAACACACCAGGGCAACGCCCACGCCACCCTGACCGGTGCTCCACCAATTCACCTCAGAAAGACATCGAGTTTTGGCAGCTGTGCCACCCCCAAGTTGCGACAAAAGGTGTCAAAGCCGCTCACTGAGGTGAATTGGTGGAGCACCGGCGGTGGTGGTGGTGGCGCCAGGCCCATCACGGCAGAGTAATTAACGCTTGCCACTTTAGCTGACACGCGACCACTTCGCAATGCGCATTTCCCGTTCAGCTTCAACGGCCCTGGCGCCCCATCATGAGTGGCGCTCGCAATGACCATCGAAGCACACCAGTTCCGGCACAAAACCCATCGCGAACGCATTCTGCATCACACCAAACACGGATTTTGAGTGAGGGTCACACACATCACAAAACAACCTTGAAAGACCAATCACGAGGCAGCGCGGGGCTCGCAATCACCGCTGTTCGCGTGAGCCGCCCACTTTATGGTGATGGAGCAGGAACACGTGTTTGTCGACCGTAGGCAGCGATACGGTGCTTAAGAAGCCAGCCCCCTGCCCTGCGTCGACATGGATCGTGTGCCACCACGATCGCCCGGCGCGCATGCCGTTAGATATTTTTGTATGTCCGCCCAGCGCCATTACGGCGCGGTCGCTGGGCAGCGCACCACTTTGCGCAGCTGTACGCTCCTTGTGGTGCGTTCTGGCGTGCCATGTGGCCGAGATTAATGGCACCATGCGCCTCTACGGCAAAGAATCGTACGTGGCTGTGCGTCAACTTTATCACAGGTCGCGCATGGCTTTTTTCAACGCGTTTTGGCGACGATGCGCTTTTCAGCGAACCGCACGGCCTGGCCGGCCAACTGCACAGCAGCTGGTTCGGCTTCCACCAGAGTGAGCGGCAAGAAAGCCCCTGGACGCGGGGGGTTGCGTGCAGCATGCCACGAGGTGCCATACCAGGGCTGGGAGACGCGATTGAGACCGGAAAATTGGGCTCTGAGGCCCTACAAGGCAGTGATACAAGCACAACTGCTGGCGTCCACCCAGAACGCCTGCCGCCCAGCAAGTTTCCGCGCGACACGGCCAATCGCCTCACACGGCGCCCACCGGCAACCAGCACAGCACCACCAAAACCCAAACACGAACGAACGGTAGAATGGCGATCCCACACAGCCGCCCACGGCTCTTTAACAGAGCGGAAAGGTCCCTTGGACCCCAAAAAGGTCACATAGGGCCCCTTCAAAAGGGGCAGCACCCTTCCGTTCTCACGTTCGGCGCGGCCACACACTGATGACTCAATGCATACTCAAATTGCATGCACTGAAAATGACACTAGTGTGCAAGACTCCCATCAGCTCAATGGGTGACCCCTCCCCATACTTTACTGCACTCCAGTACGTCGTGACCAGGATAGAAACCAAAAAAATGTATACCAATTTCACAGTGTTAAATTCATCGATTGCAACTTACATTGGGTTGCATCGATGAATCTTTGAATAATCCCAGTGAGGCCTACCTGGGGGACATATGCTATGTTGGTGGTAGACGTGGCGCTGGAGTGGTTACTGTTGTAACCTCATCAGAGTTTGGTTTAGTCGAAAGGCATTCCAACTGAGTGTAACAAGCACTCTCATGCATGACACACCATATGGTCTTCCTTGCATGTAAGGGAGAGGGAAAAAGGCTTAAAGGGAACTAATGAGACCGAGTGGCGTCGGTCGAAACCGGTCTTGCCAAAGCCAAAGCCTTGTGGTCTTGGGGCGGACCACAATTCCGTCAAGGATGTTGTGAGTGAGAATGCCGAACACCGACTTTAGGACAATGGCATGTACCAAGGGGACTGCGGGCCCACCACTGGTAGGTACCGAGGGAAATGCCGGACTCCTTTGAGAGGTTTTGAGAGGGACACTGACCAAACCCATGGAAGGAAGGCAGCAGGCGCGCAAATTACCCAATTGTGGCATGCCAGTGTTGCGACGAGACATATCCATTTGGGACGTGACAAAGGCGGGTCCATTTGGGGGCGCAACCAATCCTGGCGACTCGGAAGCCAACCAAATAGCTATGGGAACCCCGGCCGGCTGTATAGGATGGAGAAAACATGAGTGGTATGGGACACTCTTGTATCAGTCACTTGTGCAGGTAATTCAACAACAGCGTATCATTGATCTCCAAAAGACGTCTTGGCTTCCTAGTTTCTACTTGTTTTCTCAACACGCAACCCGGCCCATCACCGCAATACTTTCCAATCATACAAAATTCGGACAAAATATCACAGCTCCTGACAGAATTCTCGACCATTTGCAGTGCAAACCAGGACATAGGCTGATGCCTTTTAGTCCCAAAGAACCAGCCCCACCAAATCATGTAAGGCTCTGTATAGCATCCTCTAACAAGTAGATTCCTTCTCCCTTTTCAAAACAATATTTCTGCTGACCTACCATCCCAGTCAACGTCATTTGCCATCGCAGAACTCCTCCAAACTCGTCCCCTTGCTACCATCATGCAGCCCATGGACATCACATCCACTGGTCAAGTGATGTTCAGAAAGTATTGCACGAAAAGGCACCATATTTTGCGCCACTTCCCAGCGCCCTCGCTCAACACCTGCCCCAATGTACTCTATTCTTCCTACTGCCCATACATAAGACATGGAGCCCTACACAGAAGTGGATAACGCGGTGACCTACGCTGCACTATTGCGGCTGCGCAAATGTAAAAAAGCGTGAGCCTAGGAGTGCCAACACAAGCTCATTCTTCTCAAGGCATGGCGGCCTGTTTGACGAAGCCTCGTTACATATTGCTGCCACACTTCCCATATCTTTGAAAACAAAATTTAGCGTTTTCTTACTCAACGCTTTACCGCGGACAGGTCCCCAAGACACCCCTGTCTGACACGTTTCCAGGGGTCTTCTGTCTACACGAATTCCCGGCATGCTACCCTCCACATTACAATCCAACACTCCCAGCCCATGCCCTTCCTACCCACCAGCACCATCACTCTTTTTTGTCTCTTTCCTTTCAGTCCTGCGTTTTTCTGTTTCAACACAGGCAAGCAGGCACGTCTGACATGCATGTTAAGCCACACCAAGCTAATTGTATCCTTTTACGGTGGTGTCCTGAGGTCATGACTTACACAGGGCTTCATGCCAGTGACGGGAAAGTTATCTTCACATGCTGTACAGGTCGATTAGATGCCAGCCCCCCTCAGACCGCTAACATGACTCCCTCACCGATGTGACAATACAGCATGCATGTCAGGGCATCTTACAGCGTTCACAGCGAAAAGCACTTTTTGTTGCAAACCAGCAGATCATGTGTCCTCCCTCGTCAGGTCGGACGCCTGAATGATCCTGACGGATCAAGGCGTCACCGGACAGTCCAGTGAGCCCGATTGGCCCCCAAGCCTACATACCCCCTTATGGTGCTGGACCTCCCAGAATAGCTTTTGAGTGCACAGAGCGACTTGCTCCAGTCAGCTTCTGCCTCCCTCACGTTCCCCAGTGAAACTCACTCCTAGGGCATTGCACCCCTAACGTTTTTCAGGAGTGTTCTTAATCTTTGTTTCTTTTTTGTCCCAGCAATGTTGGCTTACTCCGGCCACCCCATGCATTGTGTACCGTGCATGCGGTCGACACCCGTCGTGAGCCAATTACATAAGTGAGTCACCCAGTGAAACGATGCTCACTATGTGGCTTCATCGAACACTGCCATGTTGTCGCCTCCACGCGCCCATCACCACACCACATGGGCAGAAAGGAAGATGTTACATGCCCCCAGGACTTGAGCCATCGGCCCATCAAACGTCAGCATTACGTAATGCTCAAAACCGCCGCTCCATCACCCTCCCGTTTGCCGGCGACCGCCGTGATGGCCCTGGGCGCCTTCCTGACTAATGCACCAGAAAACGACGCCGATCGCAAGCCCTGTGCGCTTGTGGCGTGCCGCCTTGGGGCAAACGCCGAGCGATCCCATTCGAATGTCACGAGAACAAAAAAAACAAAAAAGAACAAAAAACCAAAAGAAGAAACAAAAAAGAGACCGACAGTGTGTTGGTCATTTTGTGGGAAATCGAGCACTTCTCAATCGTGTCAGCAAGAGGTAGTGCGAAATGCATGAAATGGTCAGCGGGAGGAAAAGGTAAAACTAGTCCACATTGAAGGAAACCCGGTCCACAACGGCACAACCCCTCCACTTGAGGCAAAGCATATTGGGGCTGGTGGATATTTGAGGGAGAATGTATTGTCCAGCTGATGCACATTCTGTCAAATCAATGCTAGTGTGGGCTCTCGACGCGGGCGCCACAACGGGTCTGTTGGGCAGCTACAGATCCAAGCGGTGGCCAGCACGCGTTCGTGGCAGCTTCACCGTTGGCAACGACCTCAGTAGCACAGCAGACGCTTGCTTTTCCATACATGGCGGCTTGGACATTCCCATTACGGGAGCCAATGCAATTGGCGCTTCGAGCCAGAACATAGGGCAAAGGGAATGGCTCCCGTTTGTGGTGTTGATAGCTTGAGGAACAACTACATTCAACACGCACCACCCACACCCACGGCCCCACAGGCCGCTAGCACCAGGAAACTTAAGGGCGACAGTTTGGTACCCACTCACATCATTCCACTGCGTTTACCCTGTGCCAGATTTTCGCACACCCCGCTTGCACACATTTCTTGCTTCGTTGCCTCAGTACCCATGGGACACCCCTGCCCTGTTGCCACAGCCACGACTCCGCCAATACACCAAACTGAACTACGCACCCAGAGGCAACACGATTGTGCAGAATTGATAAGAGACAAATGCACGTCCAAGTGCATTGGTCAGCCCAAGAATGCTATTAGTCTTCGTCCATCGGGGCAGGAGGAGGCAGATTGGATTCAGATACATCAACCATTCGGATGCCGCTGGTGTTGATGAAGTCCACCAAGTCCGAAGAAGTGAACGAGCCCATCACGCTCAGCAGGCTCTCCAGGTTTACCTGTGAGAAGATGGGGCTGAGCTGGACCCCCGAAGGGGAGATGGGGCCCAAAGGTGGGATGTCAGATGGGCTGGGCAACGGCGGGGCCTCAACTTGGGAAACGAAAGGCGACTCGGGCATTTCGTCTGCCAGGCCACTGAACATGGGCCTGCCGTCCAGGGACACATTGCCACCACTTGGCTCACAATGCTGTTCCAGTCTTGTAGGATCAAACTCGACTGGACAGGATACTGGCACGACGTCCATCTGCACGTCCATCTGGCCAGGCTCCATGCTTCCCTCCTTGTCCACCGTGAACAGCCGTTTCAGGAGCCGTTTGTGTTCTTCCGACAGTACAGGCTGGCCCTGCCAGACATCCACCGGTGCGGGGGGCGCTCGTGGCACTGGAGGCGCTGCCTGAATCCCACCACTCTCGTGCGCTGTGGGTGTGCAACTCCTCCTCAGCGTCTCGAGCAACGACTCAGCACTCGGAAACACACATAGCGGGATGTCGCCATCTTTGTTGACTGGGGGGCTTCCGTGGGGCTGGGCTGTGTAATCCTTGATCTCCGACACTTCTGCCTTATCATCACTGACAGAGCTGAACCGCATGGAGACATCGCCCATTTCGTTCACCATCTCAGCCATTTTCTTCTTGGCAGGGCAGGGTGTGTCCTGTCAAGCATGCAAAATCATTTGCCAGTGAACAGGTGCTTCCAAAGATAAATTCGATTTCTGCTACCTGCTGGGTCACCCTCATCCTTGATGGAGATTGCAAAGCCAGCAGCATGGTTGCTGGTAAGAACAGGAGCAAAGCCAGTCCACACAGGTTGGAACAGCTGAGGTCTTGCTTTTGTGGGCTGAATCTTTGTCAGAACCTGATATTTGGACAGCAGTGTGCAGGTAGCATGCTTCATCCTGATGGCCAGGACATGTCCAGGCATAGAATGCAACAGATCGCTGAAACTGCATGGTGTGCTGGATGGCTGATCATGACACACCAAGCTGCACTGCTGGGTTGCTCAACAGGACGGCAACCAAACAGGGACAATAGTAGCTCATAACATGGCAAATTCAATGGTAAGCAATGGATGTCTTTGGAGCATAACGGTCAACTTACTCTTCAGCTTCTCTTATTTAGGCAGCAAGATGCACAGCATTACATGACATAGACGGTTCTGGGAGACTGGATACCTCAAGAAAGTCAAGTTTTGACACCCATAACTTTGTCAGGTGTGCCAAGAGCCACAAGCACAGAGGTGTGAAGGCTGTTGAGTACATTGAAGGGGAGAAAATGGTGGGGACAAATCATGCACTGGCACTCAACACTGCAGGTGATGTCAGGCGCGATCCCATTTGCTGATTGGGTATGTGCAGGCTGGGCATGGGAGCCAACTAGGGTAAAGTGGCTTGCTCTTGCCAGGTGCCCACAGCTGGACGTGGGTAGTTTGGACTCTGGAGTCATTCCCAAACACAGAGCAGATCCAAAAACAGCTGTTGCTCCAGTGCCTGCCCACTGCGACCCCGATTTTGCTCAATGCAGTGTTTTGACTTGTTGCACTGGACACCACACGGCCTCTTGAGACAAGCGTGAGTTGACTTTTGTCCCATAGATTATTTACAACGGTAAGGGTGGGGCTGGGATGGCAATTGCATACTGTTGCAGTCAACACGGCAGTGATGCCCTGCTCCATTCTCAGCAGATGTTGGAATTAGCAGGCAACTCTGTGACCCAAAGATTCCTGACAAAGACCTGCCTGACTGGCAGTGCGCATGACATTTGATCCTGCTGCATGTTCACTGAGTGGGTGGGTGGCCCCTTTCTGACTTTCATTTGCTCCTTGCAGCCATTCAGTACCCTGCGCCATTGATCCTTCTGTTCCTGTGCAAGCCGCTGCTGCTCCCGCCTCTTCCTCTCCTGCCTCTGCAGCTCCTCCCTCACTCTCTCCAGTGAGGTGTTTTTTATGTTGTCCTGATCCAGGACAACAAAGAGTCTGAGGGGCAAGCCACCACTGCACACCAGCAGAATGTCTGGAAGATCTGCTGGCAACCCTTTGCAGTCATTGGTCCACATTCTGGACAATCCATAAGAGGGCCGTTGGTACGTCATGCAGGCAACTGCAGCTACCGTCCATTCTCGCTGAGGCCGAGAACCGTGGGCAGGCGTTTCTGTTGCGCTGCCGGGCACACATGTGCTCTTCTTTTTCCAGGCTCAGCGTCCAACACAGTGAACTGACGGCGTCAGACTAGAGCGCTGCAAGGCAAGACAGCTGTCGTGCGCAATGCCCCGGGTGTTCAGATCATTCGCGTACGTCGCCAACTTTCTACCCTTGCGCAGTAGACACCACCAACGCCGTCTCTCGGCACAAGGGCAGGTCGCCACTGGCGCGGGGTACACCGCACGGGCCCCAGTGCCAAGCCGCAGATGCCAATCTTGTCAACCTACTCTCGTCGATGCCGCCTCCACGCCATCCATCATATCCCCGCTGTTGCTCTTGGTCTCCTCGTCCCTCCTGACAATCACCTGGTAGCGGGCTTTCACCGCGTTGTCCGTCCGCCTGCCGATCCTCCTCGCGATCTCCGTCCATTTGTTGCCGTATTTCTTGTGCAATTCCAGGATCTGCTCGTCCTCCTAAGAGGACCGGCAGTGAGATGCGTCAAGGGCGAGTCGAGCCGACAACAGTCTCGAGGCGACGCGCTGAAACAAAGACAAGATCTTTGGGCGTGTGTCTGTACGCAGATGTTATTGGGATCCCGTCATGAGCGTCAATTTCCGCCAACTTTCTGCGCCGCAGCCCTCTAGGAACGGCGAGGACGGCTGGGACCCGGCGTCTGGGAGTCAACGAGTCGAAGCGGCGCGACTGCATTCTGCGACGGTTGGCGCCGTGCTGACGGAACACGTTTCAGGCGAGGGAGGCGATCGCCACTCCGTTCCAGCCGCTATCCCGCAAGAACCGACGACAGCCTATAGCGGCACAGGACAGATCTGCGCCCCGCCCACAGCGTCCCCACGCCCACCGCGACGCGATCGCCTGAGCGCCTACCTACCTGCTTCGACCACGCATCTGGCTTCGCCCTTTGGTACTGCGCACCCATGACACAGTAAGATCCGCATCAACCTTCAATCAAGCGAACAACTCAATCTGATGGCGGATTGGCTGACTGGGTTGATCTTGCAAAAGTTGCGACAATTGACGGCAAATTATGCATTAACCACAACATTACGTTATTAACTGATACATTAACGAACAAGACTTTGGAACAGGGCAGTGCGACATATGTCTACGTCCATATTTATGCGTAAACTGTTTAACATTATTTCGATAATATCGAACCTGAACATTGGCAGCACGAAACCTCCATTCCATTGCCGTACCCAGCAAACTGCGTGCACTCTCTCCTTTCCATGCAGACAAACCCAACGTTTGCATATCGAGGCACATTCAGATAACTGGCGTTGTATGAGCTCACATCGTTGCTGGCAGCACTACTGCTACATCGTGAGCATGTTCTTGGCGACGCAGGGATAAAAGCTGCCCAAGTCTCGGGCAACAAACCGTGACAAAATGCAGTTTGTGTGTCAAGAAAATTGTCCTCCTCGTGGGGTTGGTCCCTTGCCAGCAAACTTCATCTGTGCAGTGCAAGATGCCATCCAAGCTAATCGCACAATGTCCAAATAAGACTATTTCATAGTTCAGTACTCTAGTGTGAAAAAATACACTAGCAGCAGAAAAAACTGAGTTCCCAAACCATACTTTTTGGCAAGCATTGCAGCGGTTTAGCAACTGTCCACAGAGTCTAAATCATTTGGCCAAAGGCAACAACAAACACCACGCATATGGAACAAGAGTCCTCGCACATTTAGAAATGGCAAGTGATACCAGACTGGTAGGAAGCAAGCCCAACACAGTTCAGCACATGAAATCCCAAGAAATGGACTCACAGAACTGTGATTAGGTATACGCTGGATGAACAACTGGGGATACAGGTGTCCACACTGTGGAAATATGGTGGGCAGTAGCATTTGTGGCTCTACAGTTTCCAATCGGCACAGTACCAAAAATCCTAAAAGCATGCATCTTGTTGCAATTCACAGACAAAAGAAATACGACAGATGTCTTAACTGCTCCAGTAGTTTGTCCTGAAGATGGTGTGTACTTTGGCCACCTGCTGCAAAGCTTCTTCCAGTTCTGTGCACACTTGATCCATTCTTGGTCTCTCACAAGCAGCAGGAGCAATACAGCGCTTCATCAGCCCTGCCACTGCTTCAGGGCAGTCATCTGGAATGGGAACTGGATTCTTCCCAGCTACTTTCCTCTTTTGCACCATATTATTGGACCTCAGGCCTCTGTAGGGTGGGCTCAAACCAGCAATCTCAAAAAGAACCAGTCCCATGGAAAAGACATCGGCACTGAATGTCTGTGCAGCCCCTTCGTTGAGCTCTGGAGCCATCCACAAGAACGTCCCTGCCATCGGAAAAGCAGTTTTTGATCTTGTCTCGGTTTTAGTGGCAGCCAAACCGAAATCCGTGATTTTTATCACCACATCACCTCCGGCTTGTGTGTTGAACACAAGAAAGTTTTCAGTCTTGACATCGCCATGAATAATCCTCGATTTGTGCAGATGCTGCAGACCAAAGCAGGCACTCAACATCAGGTGCAGCTTCATGGGCCATTTCCATTCATCCCCTTCCTTTTGGTAGAACAATTTCAAGTCTGTTGACGCCAGCTCCATAACAATGCAATTTGAAGCCATTGCACCAAAGCAGCGAACCACATTTGAATGGTTGAGCTGGATGTGCAGCTCAACCTCACTCAAGAATTCAGCCCTCGATTCCGGTGTAAGATCGTTCCTCAGCATCTTGATGGCCACTGCCGTGTTCTTCCACACACCTTTGAACACCTTACCATACCCGCCTTCACCGATCTCCTCCATCCGCCGCACTTCTCCCTCTGGTATCATGGTCACGACCTGCATTCTGTCCCTGTGCCTAGCCACCTGCTCCTCCAGTTCCTTTCTCTCTGTATCCGGGATTTGCCTGTCTACACACCTGCACTCCAAGATGCAGGTAAGGTACCAGCACAGATACCGCTCGTCCTCAGTGACGCTGTCAGCATCCAGTTTTGTCTCAATGTTGATGACACTGTCATCCAAGCCCAGGTCATGAAGGCATTCTCTGAATACTATACACATTTGCTCTACACTGCGACTGACTAGTCCCACCTTGTAGAAACCACGCAGATCGAAACGCCTGCCATGTCTGCTGATCAGGAGTGACCCCTTTTCCATTTCATCTTTCAGCACGACCAAGAACTCCTGTGAAGCATCTTTTGGCAACTGAGGAAGCAGATCTGCCACCTTTTCCATTTCACAGCACAGGAACCGGAGCATGTTCTTGTGATAGCGTGCCTCTAGGAGGTAGTCCTTGGCCGCTTCCACTGCATCCTTAATGACTGCCAGATGCACATCCATACTCTTTCTCTCCGCCTTCAATATCTTGATTAGCAGCAGCTGATGGACAGGAATGGAGTAAGTTCGTTGAACACCCAGCAGTTTTTTTGGGACAAAGGAAACGGAACATGAAGCAGAGAGTCCTGGCCAGGCCAGACCAGGCTGCTGAGACAATGCAGAAAAATCCCCAACGAATGCTGTCAAATATTCAACCCTTCCACATCAGAAAAATTCACCGTTATGGTTTTCTCTCCGCAATTTGTTTTTCAGAGCTCTACTTTTATTTTTCTTTAGTTGCTCCGCACAGAAAGGCCAAATTTTGCATTACTATTTGTATCGGTTTTTTGGCAAAAAAAGCCAAGCGTTACGTTACTATGTGGAAGGGTTTAACATTTTACAGTACTCAGCGAAGCAAGCCATTCTAAAGCAGCAACTATTGTTTGCAAGTGATGAACCACAAGCACAGGCAGGGTGGTCATCTTGCAAGAGCATCGGGCTAGCAAAATTGAGTCAACGATTTACTGGTAAATGCACAAAGGGCCCGTATTCACCTCGTGGTTGCAGGTCCAGGACCAAGCTTATCCACCCTCACAAGCAGGGCAACAGGGGGGACTGTCTCTGAAGGTCCATCGTTCGGGTAGAGAGCAGTGCCTCAGCTGTGTGTCACTGCAAGATGGACACTTCAGTAGGCTTGGTTGGTTATTCATATTCGGCGCCCAGTTTGGTACCGTTTGTGGACGCCCCTTCATGCAGTTGTGCAGCCAGTACTGTGTACGTTAAGTGAACACCATGCCCCCCCCCCCCTCCTTTGCACAGCGCTTGGAAGTCAAACAAGATGGTAGATGCCCTGGTTGTCACATCCTCAGCAAGCAGCGGCCAACAAAAACCACGGAGATGGCACGTTTGCACACAGAGCTATTGCCGGGGATGTCAGCGCCTGTGAAAAAAATTGTCCAGAGGAGGATATGGTGACACGAGCAGTTGTCCAGTCCAAGGAGCCCACCTTTCACAAGGCCCTTCGATACATTTCAGACGGCGATCGATCGCATGAGGATGTCCATCCACAAAGAGCAGCGGCGGTCCCGAGCGTCGAAATTGGCACCGACCAATCAAGGTGTGGCAACTGATCGAAAAAGGGCACCGGACCAGCTTCGCAGTCGGTTCCCGGGGCCAAGAAGCAAAGATGCCCACGCGAACACGAACGGCGTCTGCTTTCCTGGGGCGAGCGCTCTACCGCGAGAATGGAGGCAGGACCCTAAGGCGCAGTGTGGCTCGTGGTGCACATGCCTGGGCACCTCACACACACGGTGCTTTGGGCTGGGAGGAGCAGCAAGACTGTGGAATCCATCTATAAATCGACGGAATTGACATGATGGCGCCACGCGCATTGCAATCGTGCTGGTGCTGTCCTTGGGCCACGATGGTTATTGGACCTGCGTGAGGCGTGCGACATCAGGGAACGGTGTGCTCCGCTCTATTGCGTTGTGAAATTACACTCAAGATTGAGGATGGCGTAACGGTGCAAGCGTGCCGATTTTGTTAGTGCCTCGACAGTGGCAAAGGGCTTGGACGGCAGAGGCAATATGTGGTGATCAAAGGGCTTCCTGATGTTGTCCTGCTGTCACTGAAAAAGTGGAGAAACGAGAGTTGACGCCCAGAATCAGGGCAGACAGAGTGGTAGTGTTGCAGCTAGAACTGATTTTGTACTATTAATAATCGAATGCATGAAAAGATGATGACCACTAGTAAGTGCATTGAGGAAGTTGATGAACGGACAGAACATAAAGGACAGAACGCCTGTTGTCCTTTTGCCTCGGCTGTAAACCGTTGCCGTGGACTCGAGCGTACAATTCCCGTTCAGGGATCGCCACCACTCGATCCTGCCTTCGTCAGTAGCTGGTTTGTTGGATGGAGATGATGGCGCAATGGTCACATGCATGAAACGGAGGAACTAACTTTCGTGCAAAATGTCGGTAAGGGGGTCATGGAAAACAACAGAACATGCATCCTCTTCTCTTTTTGTGCACTCAGAAATGGCAATGTTGTGCACAAATTTCCTTGTTTTTTGACGTCCAATCTTGAGCACAACCGTTTTGCCCAAAAAAACACATAATCGTGATGTTGCGCAAAATGCAGCCTTTTGGACCTTACCGACATTTTGCACGAAAGGCTGTTGAGGGCAGAATCAGCATAATGTAAGCATGATGCTTGGTGGCAGATCCTCACGCTCTCCACCGCTGAGCCAATGGCATGGGTTACCTAGTACTCTCTGCATATCAATCTGCGTTTACAATCATAGGGGGCAATGCGTCCCCATGGAAAATGCAGCTTGGAAATTGGCCTGGGCCTTATTCAAAATACGCAGTAGATTACTTCCTCAGTCCCAAATTAAATGTCGTCTGCGAGTTGGCGCATCACTTCTTCATCACAAATTATTCCTTTTTCTGTGAAATTGCATCCAAGGCTGTGCCTAGATTTTCGGAGTATACAGTCAAAATTTCAAGTCAATCCGTTAAGTATGGAGGATTTGGCAACGCTTTGTAGCAAGGGTTCCTCTGACCCGTTCTTCCACAACTCCGCGAGAATGGCCGTTTTCGCTGCTTTGAGGCGCACAAACTCGCGTGGGCAAAACAGAGCCTCCCGTGCAGAACTATCCACACCGTTTGGACAGAAGCTCGGAGAAGTCCCCGTGAAGATAGACAGCAGTAGAAAAATTGTCTTGGAGGGCTGCGTCATGGAGTCGCCGTGGCTTCGCGGCCATAATTCGAGATCGATTGGTCAATTCGGAGATGCACTCACGGCCCAGATTTTTGGCCCGCGGCCTTTGAGCCTCCATCGCTGCTGTGAGGGGTATCGGCAAGGCCTCCCAATCCCCTCGAAGAGGTGCGAAGGAATGCGATGGTCATCACACTAATCAAAGGTGGACGATTAGGGAAAGGGCTTTCAAGTCTGGATGGAGAAGTCGACACTTGCGTCGATAAACGAAAGGGTGGAACGCGAACCGAGGGGTCAAAGAGACAAGTTTGTATTTCTCTCGCAAGCAGAGACTAGTTACATGGCGAAGGGTTCCGGACCGCACGTGCGAGTTGGCTGCTAGTGGCAATTTCTGGAGTGTGGCTCAGCCACGCACGAACGCCTCGATGCAAGGATCAATCGAGGCGCCATTTTAGAAGTTGCAACGCAACCTTAGAGCGATAGCCCGCACAGAGCCCAAGCTTGGGCGTCTTGGGTGCTGGCCTTTTGCGCTTGTTGCAAGTCCTCGCACTGGAGACAAGGACGGGTGGCGATTTCTAACATCGTTGACGCTGTGACCAAAAGCTTGTTTGACAAGGATACAACACGGTTGAGCGTGCTTGGCAAGCGCTATACCGCGTGAGGGACACTGCCCTTCGCCACGACGGCAACAACGACTGTTCATTGGCACACCTGGGACGTGAGCGACCCAGAACCACGCGGATCTCCAATCGGCGCCAAATGAGAATGCACAATTTTCGGCCAATCTTAGGCAATTTCGAGGGCGCCCCAGAGGCATTGGATATGATTATTTTTCATAAAAATTGGTAGTTAAGTTTTTCGGAACCCAACTTTTTCAATTCTGACCTAGATTTCAAGCGTTCTTCCCTAGGGAAGAAGCAAACCTGGTCACAATGAGAACAGCAGCGGCACCTTCATGCGCTCGCGAGTATGATCCACTGCAGCAGCGCCTGCAAGGTACGACATTGGGCCAATGGCAAAACATGAACCTGAGCATTTTTGCATCAGCAAACCATATCACATCGATCAGATTTATTAGCACCAACGTCCCAAAGCGGGCAACGACAAGCACTCGGAGCAAAGGTTCCGTTCTTCAAGCCTCTTAATGCAGCTGCTTAGTCCCTTTCAGTACATCGCCACATTCTGTTGCCTTTGCTGACCCAGTATGCCTCAACAATACAGGGCATCAGAACAGGCAACAGTGCATTTGTGCTGTACTCTCTTGTATGTGGTTCAATTGCAAAGCTATGCCCTGCCTTCAATTTTCAGTACCGGACGTACAACAGCCTTTCGTGCAAAATGTCGTTAATGAGCCAATAGCACAATTAGTGTGCAACATCTTGATTTCCAAGCAAATTGTTAAAACTATTGTGTTCAATATGTGCAATCGAACTATAATGCAATAAATATGCTCAAGATTAAAGAAAAACATGTCTTGAAGTTGCACAACATTACCATTTCTACACTTGTGTAATATCCACTAACGACATTTTGCACGAAAGGGTGTTTTACAGCATGTGAGTGCAATAATCCAAAATTCGCATTCGAGCTTGTTCTTTCCACACAACAGCCACATTTAGAGCAATCTTGCATCACATCATCAACGACATTAGCTTCTCGTCACCAGCAGCTTGACAGAGGATGCCAACAACGTACAAGCAACTGGATATGTCAGGCACCACCAAATGCCTTTCACTAGGAAAAAAAGGGCCAAATAACACTTTTGCGAACACGCATAAAACACATTTCATCAAAGTTCTGCGCGCTAAGAACGCAAAAAAAAACACAAACCCGTAAACTTTGTACACGTTTGAACACGTGTTATTTGGCCCCTTTTTCCCTAGTGTTTAGCGTGCTAATCGGCAGTGGGCAGTCGCCCCAGATGGTGTCTTCTTTTCTCTTCAATATTTTTGCAAACTCGTCTCGCCGTTTTGCTCTTTGCCCCCTCCCCAACGGTGCCTCAGTTGGCAATCTTTTGTGTCAGCGGGGACATAGGCTACTGGAAAAGAATGCCAGCTTGCTGCAAAACAACACAGAGCAGGGTTACAGATAACTTTATAATTGCAATGCAACAGGCGGATTCCTGACAATATCTCACAGCCTTGTTTGCAAACCCAAGCATGGAGTATTTGGGCTTCCCTGGCATTGTCTGCTGCTAATTCAGCTGCAAACTGAGGTGCTGGCAGAACTTTGCAGATCATGTGAATTTTACATTCTGTGCACCCTCCTGGCTTGCCACGCACTGTATCATTGCTGCTACATGCAAACGCATTGCGAACAACACGGTTATATGTGTGCACTGTGAGCAAACGCTGCCTTCTGCCATGGTGACTGGGCAACATCATATCTGCCTTGCAAACGCCATTAAAACACGAGAACATAAACAATCATCTTCACTTTTCAAGGCTCTCTGCGCCGCCCACTGAGCTGCACTTAGAAACGAGGTGCTATTGAATTGAATTAAACACCCAAACCGCTTGGAGGGTTGGTAGGTTATTACGGCTGGCACCACCGCCCGGGGAGTGGGCTGTCCCGTTGGGTAGAAATTTTCGTGGTTGTTGGGAGTTGGGATAGTACTATAATTCTAGAATGATCATCGAAGGGGATCTGAATGGATCAGAGCCAAACAAGTACGTATGTGGTGCATCCCACCCGCCGCGGTCAAAGGCAGGTGACCCGCATGTGCACATTGACCGATGGCCTTGCCTGCAACTTAGAAGCCACTTTGTTTTCAGTTTTAACAAAATATGCCACAACACTGCAATATATATATCGGCCTCTTTACTGGACGTGAGGATTAATGCCACACAGCCCTGCGAAACTCATGCAGAAAAATATTGGATTCACCGTTGGTGGGACTTGGGGCTCTTTGTTGATCTGAAGGCCCGTCAGTGACGGGCGCAGAGCGCACTGTAACTGGCGCAATCCCTGAAACGCGCAGTTCCGCTGTGAAGACCAAACTATGACTCCATCTCTCGTTTCCTTCAGCACCACGGCCCAGGTTGTTGGAAGGCGTGGTGTCCGATGTGTGAAAATGCCAGCTATTGGGCTGCCTTTGAATATTCATGTGCAGCTCGTTAGTCATCACTGTGTACACAGTGTTGGTCAACGTACTGGCGACTAGTGCTACATGGAAGTGCTCCCAACTAACGCTTCGCTCTTTTGAATTCAGGCGCATCGAAGAAAGCTTCCCTCACAAGTGTCCTGGTCTTACTGGAGCAAAGCGCTTTTTGTTGCAACAGTGAAAGCAATGTTTAGATTGTTGTAATGGCATTGCAGAAACTAGTCTTGCACCCGATGGCCAGATGTCGGAAGTACACAACTGGTGCGACACATTACAATGACGAACAACGGCAAATTTGACCGTTATCTATTCAACATGAATGTCCGCAACCTGTGGATCTACCAGATGCCAGGACTTCACTCCCAAGGGTGCTTCAGCACCCGTTCCGGACTTCCTTCGTTCGCATTTAGGCTGGACATGACAAAACAATCGCATGCAGCGGGAAGAGGTGGGGGGCACCACATTTGCGCCTGATGTGTCCAAACATGTCAAAGTTATTTGGGCGGCATAGGGCGGCACGGAAAAGAGCGAATTATCTCGACCTCCTCACAGATCACCCCGCACTGGGACACAAGGATCGTGTTGCTCTTCACTTTTCGACAGCTGTAACAAAAATTCTCAGCCCCGGCCCTGGACGTTGGCGGGAACCATCGAGCCAAACACCATAGAATCCGAATTGCATCTCTTACTCCGCTGTTTCGCATTCTCCATCACAGTCTTTTGTTCTAACTGACGTGGTGAGGGCTACTGGCGGAACTGCGTCCAATTACCCATCACTCTTGGTGCGCAACACCAGTCTGCTTAGTAGCTAACGTACCCACCCGCTTCCGTATGACGTGTTTCTCTGTCTCTGTGTAGCCAGTCTACCCCACCCCGTTCACCCCCAGATAAAAGCCTACCAGCTGACAGGGAAAGGAAGGCTACTGCAGGCTGGGCGAGTGAGTCCATACCTATTCAACCATATTCCAACAAGCTCGCTCCTGTTGTGCAAGACGCCTTCCACTGGGCCACCGCGGATCTGGTGGCGCGCTTCGCCTTCGGCATGGCCTTTCACGTGGATCGGCCGCCGGAGCCCCACCTGTGGAGGCTCCCTGCCGTGGCGATGGTCCAGAGGCTGAAAGTTAAGGAGGTGAGGGAGGAGGAAGGGCAATGGCCGTTGGTGACCAACAAAATGGGCGCGGTCCTCGGCGATGAATGGAAGCGCGATCCTGCCACACGGGCATAACTGCACGAAATCAGCTCAAAATGCGTAAGGTCAGAGGTTGTTTCGCTAAAAACGCGACATTGCGCACGACCCTGGAACTTTTGGGCTGATGTCGGGGTTGACATGTACAAAACATTCGGCCATTTCGAGAGGGAAAGCAGGGATGTTGCGGGGTGTTGTTGGTTTGAATTTCGAAATCCACCAGCACTGGGGCGGGAAGAATATTTGTGGCTCTAGCCTTCTGGCAGTTTCTGGCACACACCCACAACCGATGACAAGATGGGCGGATGTGGGCCATGATCCCTGACGACGTCACGGTCACTCGCTAGCACAGTTAGGACATCAATGGGTGTGTTTACTGTAGGACGAAACGACGTCCCTATGCAACTTGATTTAGCTTACAAAGATTCGCATTCCTTTGAGCCCATTTCATGCCCTGAAGATAAATCAGAAGTCCTCAAGAACAGCTGGACTTGTGCTGGACGGAAAACAGCATGGAAATACCTCAATATACCCAGAGAGGCCCTTGGAAGCTTCTCTTGGCTGATATCCGTGCATTCATTCCCACCCAGGAAATGTCCAACATATCCATTAGATTTATTCAAGGAGAACAAGAACCCAAGTTGAAGTCAGCAAGGATGCCATGCATGCTTATCCATATTTTCTTGCACTCACGTTTGTTGGTTGCGACTTGCCTGTGTCCCACCACATCAAAATGGCTCACTGCATCACTCCCATCAGGAACTTGTGTTGTACTCAACTGGACATCTCTGTGCCAAGCTTGTTAGGCTTTGTAAGGTGCTGATGGATTGCAACGCAATGTGAGACTTCACTTGCCGGCTTTGCCAATATTCTGTGATTTACTCAACATTTATGTTACCTGTTGAGAAGCACATGGAAGGTCAAGTCAATTCATTCCCACAACGGCCCATGCAGATGTGAGGCGAACCATTTATTGGATGCTGGGGCAGTTCGTTTGCCTTCTGTGGACTCCTGAGCAGGCCAGTACTGCTCCACAGTTTTTGGCTATTATTGTCTATCTTATTCCCTTAGGGAATAAGGGGCTCTCCTATAATAAGTGACTCCCTCATGCCACAATCGCAGAGGATGCTGACATACTGGCATCGCTGTAAATATATTGTTGGCAACAACTGTTCCACAACATACTCACCCGAGCTCTTCAATGCAATACAATTGTTGGGCTAGAAGACCCCAGAAATGAATACAAACCTTCATGACTCAACAGCCTGGTTAAAAATGGAAGGTGCAGTGACACTGTTCTCCTTGGCAAGGGTTTCATAGGACGCAAGCTCCGCCAGATATGAAACTCAAAGGCTGCAAGTCCTGTGGTTTGATCCACAGTTGGTGCTTTGGTGAGAAGATATAGAGAAATGCTTCCTTGTGCCTGCCGATTGCCGTGGGTTGCTCACAGCTGCAAGAATGGTCTCTGCAAAGTTGTTCCAATACTCCACTGAGCTGCCTGGAGGACTGCTGTTGTGCCAAGAAATAATCAACAAAGTGAAAATATCAAAAATAAGCTTAAAAGAAACTCCAAAGAATAGTAGAATCCTGGCCACATCAAGGGCGGACGAGGCCACCCCATTTGCCAACACACAATAATGAACATGATAACGATAATGAACGCCAGAGTGGTGACTATTCCAACACTGGTGCCAAGAAACCTCAAAACTCAACCCGCAGAACCTGCGCTGACATTTGAAACGCCTCTGCATAGCTGTGCAGCTGAAAGCAGCATCAAATCAGCAGGGCCCATCTGATCTACAGAGTGCGAAGCGGTATGAAGTCAGAAACTGAACGGGAGCTGTGGTGTTGGCGTGGAGGAATTTCTGAGGAATGCTGGGGTGCCTCATTACCTACCAACACTGTTGGGTTTTCAGTCTACTCCTCAGTCACAAATGGCAGGCATTGTAACCTTTACAGCTTGTAGAGGAAGCCTCTTGGCATTAATACATGCTTCACGCTCAGGTTGTGCAAATGCCGCCATCATTTGTCTTTAGTTTTTTGTTGCATCCCAGGTGACACCAATTGAGGCGCTTAATGCACTGGAGAAAAGGATGAAGGTATTGACAAGGTGGACTTCGTTCGGATGCTGATTCTTTGCACATCTCATCGCCAGCTGCTCCATTCACAATCGATCGGCCTCTGTTATCCAAGAAATATTGTCCTTATTGACTGCCACTATGACACTGCTATTAGATGATGTGCAAATGTGTGGTGCGCATAGCAGCGACCGTGTGAGATGCAACAAACATTGGTGAATGTGGCTGTGCACATCGAAAGCCACCGGGCGTTACTTCTTTTTTGTAATGATTTGTGTGAGATGCAACAAACATTGGTGAATGTGGCTGTGCACATCGAAAGCCACCGGGCGTTACTTCTTTTTCTGCAATGTTTTGTTGTGAAAGGCAGTCACTGGAGTCCAAATGTATTGGAACTGGCAAAACATTGCATTTCTGTCCATTGGACGAATGTTGGGCTTCGCTCACAGGCCCAACTTCAGTCAATGACTTGGTCGTGTTTCTGTTGCCCAAGACCTGATGGTGCTGATGGGCCTATTGGCAGGAGGTGGACCCTGCCATAAATGCTGTCACTGTTAAGTGTTTCCCACGGGCGCGGAAAGCCGCTCAAGCACTCATGGAGAAAGGCTTTCCAGTGGACCCCGGCCCCGGCTACCTGTATGGTATGAACCACATGGCTACCTGTACAGTGTGCACCACCAGGCCACCTGTGTGGCCTGGACCAACAGTGTGGCAAACATTCAAACTAGTAAGTAAGCCCTTTAGTTATTTCTGCCAACGGCTGATAGAAATGTGGCAAGAGTAATCGATACAGGGGAGGGCGTATCGACAAATGTATCTAGCAGAAACTGAGGCTCAGATCTGACATCAGTTTTGGGTGTGAGCGCCATTTTGCAAGTTAAACTGCTTTGTCCTGAAGCACAGAATGACGTCCAGACACCCGCACGATTATTTGGGGAATGGCAGAGGTACTGCAGTCAATGTTCTGAGGCATCACAAGTGGGTGATTTTAATCTTGACATTTACAGTGGCCATGTTTGACATACTCAAAAGAACAGAAACTGAAAAAATGTAGCTGAAACTTTGTGAAACTCATTTGGTGGGTGGTGTGAATTATTTCAATGCATGTCACCACAGTGCAGAACTTTCTGATGAGATGCTGCCTGTTGCAGACCAGCCTGTTGAGAACTAAGCCTATCTTGCAGTGTCCATTTTGTGCATCTGCAGTTCATTTTCTCAGGGTAGAAGGAATCCAGTGTTTACTTTCAAGGTCGTGATGACTGCGCCTCTCTCGCTTGGCAGGTTTGCCAATCGTTGTGAAAGACTTGCATGCAGTTGAAGGGGTGCTTTTTACAGAGGTGGGTGAATCTCAAGTGGGGTTAAAATTTGCAGCCAGTTTTGCTGATGAAAAGAGAATGGAAACAAGCAAATATCCAATACACTTGAATATTAAAAGCGTGTGTTTCCTTTAATATGCGTCTTCCATGACTCCAAGTGATGTGCTCTGCACAATCTGTGCCCGTTAAACGCATTGGGACATTTAATTGCAGTTTCGATTACAACTAAACGGTGTTTAGCAGTACAACAAAGTGCATGCTTCAAATGCAAATGTGTATGATGTAGTGTTGCCATAACAACATACAAAGAGTATTCGTTGCCCCTGACAGGGAAGTGCAGGTGACCAGATTGACTGCCAGATGGACACTGTATTGAAGCGGTATTCTGCGCATTTCCACACATTTTGAAACAGCACCAAAGTCAAGGTTTGACTTTGGCCCGGCGTGGCTTAGCCAAATGCCACAATTTTCAGCCGGTAGTGGAAAATTCCTTTATTCACTGCCACTGTACCTGGCGGAACCAGATTTGCACTCTTACCATGGATTGAGCAATGCTGCTCGGCTACGGCTGCCAATGAAGGTGTTGGCAGACCTACCCCCAGGCAGATTTCAGCAAAGCATCTGAGAGACTCTATAGCAGCCCCCATGTGCATCCATAATTGGACATGTCCAGGCATACTTTGGCAATCATCTTGGCTAGACAAGTACTGCGGATGGCAACACAGGTACAACAGAGATGCAAACATAGACTGCATGGTTGGCTTCAATACATGCAGAATGTTGCAACAAACATGCAGCAATAAATCCAAGAAATAAATCCAGTCAAACGGAGGGATGCATAATTTTTCTGTCCGTGGTTTATTGATTTTGCTTGACTTTAAAACCAGTTTATATAAAGTCAGAAGAGTGTGCAGTCGATCCAAGAGTGCGCGCATGTGCCAGGGATCGGCACTGTTTGCGAACCGCATCGCGGAGGAAAACGACCCGCTTGTGGACGTACTGGAGGCAGCTGGGGGCATTGTGGTGGGAAAAACTAACACACCTGAATTTGGCGCCGGGGGAAATACCTTCAACGAGTAAGCAACTGCAACTTGCCTTGAGCACATCTTGGAAGCTGGCAAACTGGCGCTCTTTATGCCTTTTAGGAGATGTTGGGCATGCAAGCGAGGCTGCACGAATGTGCTTCTGGATTGCTTCTCCAGGCACTGGGCGAGGCACCCTCTGCTGTAGAGATCATGGATATCGTTTGCGCGTGTTTGTGGCTGGGGTCGTTTCGCGGATGTAAGGGCGTTGCTTTTGGTTTGACGCTCTTTGGCAAATGCGATTAAAGATGACACAGGGCAGAAACATGATGATGAGTCTTTAATCAAAGGACCATGATATTGCGCACTCTAGTCATGAGAGGACCCAACAAGCTGTGAGCTCCGAGATGCGATGGCACTCACCCGTCCAGTTGAATGTCCAATGGCTGACAAGCTGTGGCTGTGTCCAGTTCTGTGCTTGCTCGCAAATGGCAGTATTCCAATGTTCTCTAAGCTCCTGGCCTTTGCATGGAGGCTTCTGTTGAGTCAGCAACACATTCCATTTCATTGCTTTGCATGGTTTGCCTTCATTCCGATGGTTTTGGCTTTGGAATAGGAGAGTGAACTCAATCTGAATGTTAAAATGGCATCAATAAACATGACAGGAATGCAAACAGCTACACCCCTGAACGAACGTATTGCACGCCATGTGTGCAAAACTGCTCAACTGTATGTCCCTAAATTGCGAGTTTGATTGCCATCAGACGTGCCCCTACTTGTGGTCGTGTTACCCACGAATACTGCAACCACGTATTCTTTGATTGCCGCTGTAACGTCTTGCAGCCCGCCCACATGCACCAAGCCCACATCTCATCTGTTAGGACGGGGGGTGCCATATGGACTCTCAAGTATGGTGTGATATTTCTGAATCGCAAGAGAGACCCAGTCGCGTATGGCACCGTCCCTCCGAGCAAACCGTTGCGAATCTGCCACTGCATTTGCTTCACCAATACAGACAGTATCAAAGTTTTGTCTGACATCTCAAATTAAAATGTTATTATATATATGTTATTATACTATATAGTTATGCTATTACATATGTTATGTAAAATGTTATTATATATATGTTATCTGACATTTTAAATCAAAACATTAAACGTTTTGATGTTTGCCACCAGTGTTTTCGGGAGCACACTGAATCCCTGGAATGTGAGCCTGTGCGCTGGGGGCTCGTCGGGAGGCTCCGCAGCAGCTCTGGCGGCGGGTGAGGTGAGCGCAAACGGAACATGCGCGCAAATGCTGGCAGAAATTTCGTCCTAGTAAACTGGACACGCAATGTAACTAATGGTGAAGCACATGATGCAGTACAACCACTGGGAGAAAACGGCGTGTTGGCGATGCCAGCCGCGATGCCATTCTGACACAAATTGATGCAGTCACAGTGATTGCGATGGCGCAAAAGCGGCTGCGGTGGCATCAATTTGTGTCAAATGGCATCGCACTTGGCATCACAAACGGGCTGTTTTCTACTAGTGAACCCAATGCATTGTATGCGTCATGAAGTACGACAGTACACTATGCTGTGGTGACCGTAGTGCAGTGCAGTACCAGGGGGATGTTGGCGACGCACACCATCACAACGCCACGTAAAGAATGCTCAAAGTTTGAGCATTATTGTAGTTTACCTACAACAATCTAATTGGTAATTTGGTTATCAATATTTGATGAGTAGTGCGACGCATTAACATTAGGCGTGGTTGGCGACGGGTTCGGACCTGGGAGGGTCCTTGAGGCTGCCCGCCTCCTTCTGCGGCGTGGTGGGCATGAGGCCGTGCGTGGGACGCGTGCCCTGCTGCCAAGACCCCGCAGCGCGGAACACATCGCCCGAAGAGGCACGCCTTGTGTCGGTGAACGGGCCAATGGGGAGGTGCGTGGAGGACGTGGCTCTTCTGCTGGACGCAATGGCCAAGCCCCACCCCAAGGACCCATGGTGGGTGATTGTTGTATGAGCAGTCGCTCGATGATCTTGCGGCGAAACTTGCCACTAATGCTGCATTAGCGAGGTGGGCGAAACTCTATGCATGTGTCTGGCACCGAGACAACCCACAATGTTGTCAAGTTATGAAGGTCCAGTACTGCTCATCCTACATCCTTTCACTCCCATCCCACGTGCTCTCACCTGCAGGCCACACCATCAAAAACACAACGGACTGACTGGAAGGAAAGGCAGCGAACCCAGGGCGTAGAAATGGTGGCAAACTTCTGCATCCACAAACTTCATTGCTAGCACTTGCGTCAGTAATAGTCTACTGCTGCTTCAGCTATGCTGCAATTTATGCTACTGCCATTGTGCATATGTCATGAATACACATGGACAGCATATGCTTGTTCTTAACATGCATGTTAAGAAATATCGTATACCCATCTCATGAGTACACATCAACAGTATGCTGGTGGTTGTCTTCAGGTCGAGGGAACCTCCTAGACAGTCCTTCCTCGAAGCTCTGCAGAAGGAGCCCCTTCAGCTTCCTTCAAGCATCGCCTGGAGCCCCGACCTGGGAGTGTGCCCCGTGCAGCCCGGAGTTGCCGAGATCTGCAAGCGCGCCGCCGATTGGTTCCGCGAGTCGCTGGGCTGCCAAGTCGTGGAAGATTGCCCCGACTTCTCGCAGGCCCAGCGCGCATTCCAGGTGCTCACGCTTTACGTTTGCATTCAAAATTGATTCTTTGTGTTGATGATTTTGCTGATTATCGTTGGTGGGCTCGTGTCCGTCATGCCCTGCATTGGTAGACGATGTTGGCGGAAAGTGTCTCGTTGATATTCAGCATGTGTGACCTTGCGCAATAGCTCTCACATCGGCCGATTCCCGTCGAAACGTCGGGCTCCAATTCTTGTTCCATTCAGTGAACAAAGTCCCTGGAATAGCTTGAAATGCTCCGGCCAACTTGATGAATTTGATTCACTGCGAAGATTGCCAATAATCTGTGTCAACCATCAGAACGAGGCAGGCATCTGAATATTTAGAAGCTTACTTGTACTTAAAGAACATCCTTGGACAAGTAGGGTGTCATGCTCAGTAATCTGGCCTTGGGAATAATGCTATTGCGCTGGCCCTCTATCGATTTCCTACTGCATAGGAAACAACGGGCAACCTTTACCTGAGAGTTCTGGAGTGGAAATGAAGCCAGCAGGACGTGCATGCAGGTCCTGAGGGCTGCCATGTTTCGGAGCCTTGGGTTCATGTTGAAAGGCCCCAGCAAGGACGTCATAAAACCCGACCTCGTGTGGCAGATACAGAAAGGCGTGGACCTGTCTGATGAGGAGGTGCGGCGAACACCAGCGACAACTCCATTTGTGACAATTGTCGGCATATTGCTAGTAGCTTCCAACCAAAAAGTCATGATGTGTGTACATTAAGAGCGATCACAATTTTGACATTTACGGGACTCGATCTGTATTCAAGCACTGTTGAATTGTGCATGGGGAATTTCGGGGAGGAACTTGCCCAGCTGTTGAGGTCTTCATTCCTGTACAAATCCAGTACAATTCCCGAATCCTGGTAGGTATCTACAGCAATGTACTAGTGCAGTACCAGAATTGTTCCAGCATATTGCAGCCTCAGAAATGCCTTGCCGTGTGCATCGATGTCAACGAATTCGACTTGCGGTGTTACCCCGAGGTGAATAATGTGGAAAATGTGAGAAAAACACGTTTCCGTGACAAGTTCAAATCATTGGCAAGTTCAAGAATTCCTGAACAGGCCCCGTGGCCCCACAGGTTTCGGAAGCTGAGCTGCAACACAGCTCGATCATGGAGAGCGTGACTTCATTCTTCCAGGAGTACGACCTCTTGGCTTGCCCGTGCGCTCTGCTGCCCCCGTTTGATGTGCGGACGAGGTGCGCAAATCGCTTCGCCACACATATATAGATGCACTTCATGCCGAACATGAAGTTGATTCCAAGGATCAGGGCTTTTGGTTTTGATCATTTAAGCCCTCGTACCCTTCGTGACCCTTCCATGACCTTCATATACGGAAATGATGGGCATCGGGCAACCTCCTTTATCGTATCCCTGGGAAAGCAGAGGGGTGTTGCTTTTTCACCCGCAAGGCAATGCAAGGCACGAGTTTCCGCACAGCGGGCCCCAGATGGCCGAAGACCGAAAAGCAGTGCACTGCGAAGCATTGCGTTGCTTGGGCTAACCATGTACCGTTGCTGCCCTGTTCCCCAAGTGCCTCACCTCTAAACACACTAGAGCATCCTCGAAATTTGTCACTTGCGTCCTGTCTAACAAATGAATAAAGAAATAGCTTATCAGCGGTCCGCAGTTTCCTTTTTCAATTTGATTATCATTTAACTCACTGAGATGGATTTGCAGATGGGTGCGGCAAGTCGAGGGCGCCGCATTCGATAACTACATCGACTGGCTCATGCCCACCTACATCATATCCTTGACAAAGCTGCCAGCCCTGAGCCTGCCATGCGGAATGACCAAGGAAGGTGGGTATTGCCACTGATTTCCCTGCATCGCCCGATTGGTGAACAGGCGGTACATACAATGTACTGGAAAATGCTTTCCCCAGGAGCCTCTGCAGGTGATTGGCATAGTACATTGCAGCATCGTTCACAGTGCCATGAAAATGCTTCTCAATGCAGACAATTTCGGTGCAGGCCGGAACCGCGTTTGAATACTCAAACTCATGCATCAAATGTATGTACTTAAACATGAAACAATCTTAAAAACCTGGAAGTGGGTTTTGGACTGTTTCTCATAGACGTAACAGGCCACGAGCGTCGCTGCTCTCTGGGCGCTTGCTGCCTTGCCTTGCTGGACATAAAAGCGTTCATGAACGTTATGCACCCCCGCCGTCGCGCACAAGGTGCAAGTACGCCGCTTCGTATTATCGCAGGCAGTTTGAAAGGATCACAGCCTTTGATTCCAGTTCTGATGTGCGCAGCGCAAACCCGCTGCGCTGCGCACTCCAGTTCTGGAGTCCCTAAATTGCGCATATGAATTCCATCCTCCGTGCTTGTTCGAGACTCCAACTAGCGTGGTTCGAATCTTTGTACAATTGTGACGGGGGGTGGTCATTCATGAACTCAAACCACCATCAGTGTGCGGCTACCAGCCGTTGGCGCAAACGTCCGTCGTCCGCTTTCAGGCTTAGCAGTGCACTATCGCCAAAAGGGTAGTCTCTCCGTCGGCCGCATGACTGGGACCACTGGCACCAGGCAAGGTTTCGCATCCAAGTCGTTTCCAAGCCATGGCAAGGATCTGGAACTTTTACGGGTGTACGGTCGCGTCCGCCAACACAAGTACTGCAAGCGAGAATTTGGTTGTGGAACTGGCGTCGGGCTTCATTGAGGGCGTCCCTGGGGCAAGGTATTCTGATTGCAATCGTAGCGTCTTGGCCCCACGGATACCCATCGATGCCTGCTTGCAAAGTGTGTGCATGTATGAGCAGGAACGGATTGTTCAATTGAACGATAATCTCTGCTGCTGCGCGTAAACGCTTTTCAAGTAGTTGGCACATGCACACGCATATCAGGGCGACATCAGCGCGTCAGAGAGGAAAAGGGCGCAATGTACTACCGGCCGTGCAACACCAATAATTTTCGCTTGAATCACGGCTTGACGGCCGCTATCCCTCAGCCCTCACGTTGAACATCTCATTGGCACAGTTCACACAATTTACTCTGCGCTGAAGCCGCTCTGAACATCGTATATTGTATTCACATGTCGCAACAATGCATCGCAATCATGCATGAATAACATGCCGCGCGCCCGAATTGGGAGAATTCCGTCCACAGCGATTTCGAATCCTTTGCTCGGACCTGTATCTCCAAAAGACCCGCCACCGAAACACCTGGCTTAGGCAGTGCCTTGCGCCAGTGCCGTGCGCCAGTGCCTTGCGCCAGTGCCATGCGCCAGTGCCTTGCGCCAGCGCCTTGCACCAGTGCCTGCAACAGTACTTTGGGACAGTATCTTGGGGGCCCGGACTGTTGCAGATTTGCTTTCTGCACTCAATGCTGTTGTGTTTCTTTGGCCAGGCACCCCTGTGGGCATCCAACTGGTCGGGCCGCCCAACGGGGAAGCGGGCGTCCTCGCCGCGGCCCTGGCATACGAAAGGGCGCACCCTTTCGCAGGAATGCTGCCAATAGACCCAATTTAATAAACCCAGTTTAATTCCCAATTTAATGAAGGCAATCTGCTCCCGCTGTCGTGTAGAATCCATTGATGACAAACGGCACCGAACTGCGGGCGAGTTTACATGATTTAGACCCGTTTGGATAGGGCTCAGGGATACAAAGTTTTCAGCAATTTGAGTCGGATCAACAGTGCCAGCCATCATTGTAATTATTGCAATAGTTCATGATGATAGTTTTAATGAAATGCAATGTTGTTGTTGCTATGAGCAAGCCTGCTGCATTTTCCGGTCGGTGGACAACGTTCCACTCCATATGCTCGTGTACTGTCATGATGGACAAGTGATGCGGACAACTTTTGCTGGCGCATACGCGTCGCTCTCGTGCATGCTCATTGCTTTCAGTTTTGCTCTCGCCCTTGGCCCTAAGGCGCTGCACAGCAGCAAAGGATCACACTTGTACTTGCCATAACCAAGGAGCATGCTTTTCCTTTTTCTGGGATTCGAAACGCATCATGACACGTGCACAAACAATGGACACGCAGGTTGAAATGAACAAGAACGCACTTGGACACACAGCTGACGCATATTCCAGTCATCTTGTACAGAGGAAGGGAAAAAGAAGGGGGGAGTGGGGCTCTGCACTGTTAGCTGCAAAGGTGACACTTTGAAACCTGATACTGATAGAAGGAGAAGCAGCATGCACGACGGGCCAGACACTGAACGATCAACAACCCACATTGAGTGGTGATGGTACAACATTGGTACATGAACAACAGCACAACCTATTTTGTGAGCACGTGTTGTTCAGGCACCTTGACCGACCTGTCTGCTCTCTGTTCTGTCACATGTGTGGTCTCATGCCTACTCCGTGTGACGCCCTTGTGGCGTTGACTCTCTACTGTCTCCACCGACCAGATCAGCAGCTCACGCATGTTGGATCTAATCCATTCGTCCAATATTGTCCTGTCCGTTCCATCTGATGGCTCAGATCAGATCCTCAGCGTGTGCCTGTTAACTAATCTAAACGAATCAATTCACGAGACCAGCAACATTTGATTGGTGGGGTCTAATTGGCATGGAGCTGCAACGGCTGCCCTTGCACACATTCCTGAAACAAATCGGCAAGGGACTGGGCATTAGGCATATGCAGCCTTCTTCGCAGTGAGCACAGCGGGCAACGTGCAGGCTTGACTTCGGGCACAAGCAGTGCCTGCTCATCCTCAGGGGCACGCTCTTCCCTCTGCAAACCCCCACACTCCCTGTCCACTGCACCTCCCAAGGCGCAAGGAAGGCTCCCATAGGTCGAACAGCCCATTTCCGGCCACCGAGGGGGACAGGATTGCCCCGCAACACATGACGCCAGCGCGTCTGTGTATGCGAGCTCCTCCCCCTTCTTCCCTTGCTCTGATAGCATCCCTCTCTGTCTTCCTGGTGCTCGTGTGCAATCCCACACCTGCCTGGGCATGGGCACCTGCCGTGGTCCCTGTTTTAATCCTAATCGAAAACAAGGGCTCCAGCTCCTGGGCTATGTGGTTCCGAGGGACAGGTCGCTGCTCTCTCCGGCGTCGGAGTCCACAGTCGCGCTCTCCAGCATCTGCGAGGAGCACTGCTCCACCCCGTTGACCTCCGTCTTGCCCATCTGCACACTCTTCTTCACAGGCCCCTTGCCCTTCTTCCGTGCACTGTGGATCCCATCCACGTACTGCTTGAGCCGCCACAGCGTGCGCGTCTCCAGCTGCTCCATGTCGAGCACCATCTCATCATCGCTCTCCTGCACTCCTGAGGAAAGGAGGATCTCGGCGATGCCGGAAAGCTGGGGGCCGTGCAGTGAGCCGATCTGTTGAGCCAGCCGCCGCTTGTCCAGGAAAGTCAGCTCCCGGTTGGGGTTGTCACCCCCGGGAGGGCCCCGCCGGCCTTTGGTGTTCAGGGAGCCGTTCACTGAGCTGAAGGCACTCGTGGAGCCCTGCAGGTGTGCGGAGCACATGACACTGTCAGGCCACAGCAAGAGAGAGTTTTGCATCAAATTGGAATCCTTTTTATACAAAGGTTTCGATTTTACAAGTCACACCCCATCCGTGGTATGTCTAGAAAGTTTGTCCCACTTTTTCTCAGCCACTGAATGCAACTGCCACAGTAGAAGCAGGGCGGATATTGCCTGGAATGAGCAAGTGCATAGTGCTGCCTTGGAAAGGGGAACGAACTCCACGCGGACGTGCACAGCACGCGCCATAGGTTGCTGATAAGACCACACACAAGCTGAGCGCGAATCTCAAAATGTGAAGCAATGTGTTGGACTAAGTTAGGGGATCTCAGCACCAAGCACAATTATCTCTCTGCCCTGCACCAATACATCTCTGGAGTGTCAGTAGCTTGACTATTCCCTCCTAAGGGGGCACATTTTTGTCCACCCAAAATATTGGTGCCCGTGAATCTTCCTGAACAAAAAAGACCAGCACATGCAATAGACACACCCTGCTCCAATTTGTCCAAACACACCAGAGCACTGCTCTTAGCCAGAGTCCCATCCCAACATAGCCTCCACTGGTAAGCGAAGGCGAGCTGTTGGTTAAAATTGCGCATCCTGTGGTGTTGTGTATGCCTAAGCTCAGGTTTTATTTGGCGGCAAACAGATGCAAAACACATTGGGAACAAGCACTGGTGAATGCAAGCAGTACCAGTAACATGTGCCAGTATCATGTACCAGTACATCTACAGTACTAGTGCAGTGACTTGCAGTACTTTGACGAGTTTCATCGATAAGGCCCTGCGATTTCTGCTTTGGCTGAGAGCATCTGAGATAACAACAGGAGGCAAATGATGTTGAGCAAAGAATTGCTCACTGCCTTGTGCTGTGGATGGAGATTTGGATGTCAGGCACAGGGTCGAGGAGTGCAACAGAACCAAAATGATTCTCAATACTTTGTGAAAGGGTCACACGATTTTGGAAGACAGCTGTTCCCCAGAGCTGGCGATGCTTTTCGAGTTGGGGCGGAATTGATAAACAGGACAGGACATCGATGCATACAGGCACTGTTGGGAATCCATCCCATTGCAATCGCAGCTGCCCACAAATCCACCAAATCACTTGAAAACGCTTCTTAGATAGAGGACAATGAACACCAGCCCTTGGAGCAAACAATGCCTTAACATGTCTTAGGGCCCATCACAGCCACATCACCTTGCAGATGGCCTGGTCCCGTCTTGCTCAAAATGCAAACTGAGATTTGTGGCAATATTGTTATCAATACCTATGCACTGTGTAGGCATAATCTGACCTTGCGCAACACAAACCATCAACAATATACACAGCTTGTGCACCCTTTACAATCCTTCATCATTGCCTAACACGACACAAGTTTACCCCAAATGCACATGTTCCCTATCCGAACGCCCAGCAGAGGGCCAGTCGCTACATTTTGGGTGCATGTGCAGCGCTTGACCATAGTTTGGACATGCAAGGAAGTGGACTGCCTCTTGGAAGGGGTGTCAAAACTTGAACAAGCACTTGAATGCCCACCCACCCCCTTTTCCCCCAAACCTGAATGCCTTTGCAGGCGAACACCAACTCTCAATGCCTGGAAACACTTGAACATGCACATCCATAAAATGCCAGCGCACAAACATTTGCGTTCGCATGCGAACACCAACTCCTGGGGGTGGCAATACTTTAACATGGATGGACAAGTATCCCCCCCCCCAGTGGGTGCTTGTTTTCTTGTCTTGCATTCCACGCATTGTGTGCTCATCATTTCGCACTGGGAGACTCTAATGCACCTTTTCATAGCATGGAAAAGAGTCTAGCACACATTTGCTTAGGGGGGGTCGCTCTGAATCACCTGTTAGTCTTTCTCTTTGCAACAGACCGCCAGCAGAGGGACGCTGCCCGACAATATGAGTTTTCAGCAGAGACACGTGACGTGACCAATGTGGTGTCGATAGTTCATGTTGCCTATAAGGATATTCATTCATTCATTCATTCTCTGGCAACAAATCTTACCCCAGACCCCCAGCCCAAACCAGATGCATCAACAGGGCAATTGAGACCTCGCTATCCCCACCTGCCCGCTCCCTCCGCCCTCCTCCGCGTTCCACTTCTCCTCTATCTCCGACTGGCACCACCGCTTCTCCCACATCTCTGACAGGAAGTCCCCCATGGCCCTCACGTCCTGCCCCGGCCGGTTGTACGCCCTGCAGTTGCTCCAAATCTGCCTCACGTCGTCCCTGAACTCCGCGGGACAGCCGTACTGCCTGTAGATCCCCTTCTCCGGCTCGTGGGCCACCCTCCTGGACACCTCCCCCAGGTCCATGGGCCTCTTAACGACATCCAAATAATCCGGTATGTTCAGCGCCACCGGGTCCACCGCCTCTAGGAACGGCCACGCGTACCGGTGCTTCTTCAGCGCATTGAGGATCGTCACGCACTGCGCCCAGATTGACATCACCCGCCGCTCCTTCGCCGTGGGCTTGCGGCCCCTCTTGCCAATCAAACCGCTGGCCCCCCCCTCCCTGCCCCTTCTCCCTCCTCGACCTCCAGACTTCCCGCCGCGCCCAGATTTCGCTCCCTGGCGCTTGGGCCCCCCCCAGCTCCAGGCCACCTCCCCCCTCTCCACCAGCCCCCGCCAGACTTCGGCATGCGCGCCGTTCCCCAGCACCTTCTTCTTGCCGGGTCTAACGAACCAACCCCTCGCCTCCTTGATCGCTTGAATCTGGCGCTCCAGGCCCACGATCGAATGCCGCACCGACTCCAATTCATTCTCCAGATCCGCCCGCCGCTCGCGGGCGTCCTCCTCCTGCCGGATCCGCATCAGGTTGGCCTCGGCCGTCTCGGCGGTCTCCGCGGTCGCATCTCGAGGAGATGTGGATTCTCCTCGGCCGTCGAACATGGGCACTGTTTTGAAAGGGTGCGGCCCGCTGGGGCTGCCTGTGGCCGTCCGGCGCGGCGGCGCGGGGCCTTTGGGTGCTGCGCAGGCGGCAGGGCGGAAGCCAGCGGGCGAGGGGGAGGGGCCGCGTACGTTAATCGGGGGCTGATGTGGAGCGGGGAGGGGGGGTATCATTGGCGATGATTGCGAGGATGGGCACAATCGGGCGTCACGGGAAAAGAGTGACCCGCACTGAAATCCGCTGTACAGCACAAACAAAGGTCACTCTTTTGGCCTAAACTGATCAAGGGCACTGCCCGGCAAAATAGGAGGCTGACGGCTGCCTCCTTGCCTTGTTCTGTAAAAATGATTTGTGATGATGACCTTTCGGCGAGGTTTAGTCAGCCTCGGGCAACGTTTACACAAGAACGCCGCTTTGTCGGTGGGCGCCCGGCGCGAATATCCCAGGAACGTCTCCGAGATGCAAAGCCGCGATGCTCTTGCGCTTCTCCGCGACCGCCATCCCCCACAAGGTGCAAGGGCACCACCTTGGCTTCTCGCTGTTGATGCACCACAGCAACGGCCGCGACGATGCGCTGCGTGTGGGTCTGTGACGGTGATGTACATTGGGATGTGGCGTGCAAGCACATGGGAGCCCGCGGGTCCTGTAACGAGCGTCATTCCGAACGAAACCGCGTTTGTCTGACAGGTCGGGCTGGCAGCTGGACTTGGAAACTGCACCGTTCAGCCAGTGAAGCGCTAATGCACTGGCCGTTGGTGGGGAGGGCGAGACGCCCAAAGGCCTGCCCAACGACTTGTTCTACCCCCCGCCGGTTGAAAACCTAATTCCACGGAGCCGACCCAGAGCCCCTCAATCAGGTTAGGTCTCTTTGCCCCCCTCAACTGAACTAAAGTACGACACAACTGCACTAAAGTACCTGCGCCGCGCCCCCTTTCCACGCTCCACACTCTCGAGAGTCCAGGGGAGCGCCGCCCCAGCCGAGGAGCGCCCACCCCACCCCCTTCGCCCAGGGGCAGCCAACCCTTCGCAAGGGGCGCGCTCTCTGCAGAAGGAAGACGAGCGAAAAAGCTTGACCCGCCTTGCCCGCTGGAACGCTCAACTCGGCCTCGGATCCGCCCCCAAGCGCATCCAGGCCCTTTGCCGCTCGGCGCAAAGGGAGTAGATCGGGTTGGGAAGATGCTGGCCGGCCTGACGAGGAGCTTCGCGCGGCTGGGCGGGATCGGGTCCCTGACGCGGCTGCCGGCGCACGGATCCGCAGCGATGGCCGGCGTGGGCGGTGGGTGCATCCTGCAGCGGAGGCCGTCGGGCGCCCAAGCCGCCCGGGGGACAAAAATCCGATCTCGAGCGGCGAATGCTGCATGGGGCCCCCGCCCCCTACCCAGCCCGCGGAGCGGGCGGACGGCATGTATTGGTGTTTGATCGATGGAGGGATCCGGGGTGGTCATCGTGTGAGAGGGGAGCGGGTTGCCTTGCCGCACGGAGACGGGGATACCTTGTTAGACTTTGCCCGCGGCGTTGCCCGCGTTCGTGCCCCCTTGGGCGTCTCCCGCGTCATCTCTCGGTGTGGGGAGTGGACCCTCGCCGTGGTTTTGCTCAGATAGGGGCACGCCTGTCGTCCAAACTGCCTTCTGTTGACATTGGATCTTTGCGAGCCTCGGCGGGGAACCACCCCCTGACTGGGGCCGATCTGTGCTTGATCAGATCGGTGGCGGGATGGCGGCGAATCCAGCCAGCAAGCCTCGCAATCCGCAGCCATGGCTGCGCCCCCAGCGCCTGTGATCCTTTCGTTTTCTGTTTGTCTGGTTTTCTGATCTGTGTGGCGGTTTCGGCGCAGGTGGCGCTCACGCCTTCTCGACGCAGGAGAAAATCCAGATGGACAAGCCCATCGTGGACCTGGACGGTGATGAGATGACCAGGTGAGGGTCGCCAAGCCACCGGCCTTCCCTTTGGCTCTGATGGTGTCCTCGAGGAGGAAAAACGAGCTCGACATTTGCCCGCGATGTGCGGCAAGGCCTCAGCTGTTGCCACGTGATTGAGGACCTCGGCTGGACGCGAATGATGTGATCTGTTGGCGCGCAAGGGAGCCCAGCGCTCGCGACTTGCGGGCGATTGCGGCCTTGAAGCCGCGCCCTGGCGTAGCTCCGAATGTGTGCGTGCCCCTTCGCACGGGATGACCACAAAACCTCGGCGGAGCTGGCGCCGCGCGCCCAGCACAGAGGGCTGCTTTGTGCGCAATGCAAGCTCCACTTGGATTCATTCTTGCAATCGTAAGCACGCTTGATAACTTGTTTGGCTGAGAACAAGCCGATTGCAGTGGTGAGGGGTTGTTCTTCTAGAGCGGGTGCCAGCTGGCGAGCTGACTGTTTCCGACTGAGGCGTTTTGTTTTGCCTGCAGGGTCATCTGGCAGATGATAAAGGACAAGGTGAGGCAAGTGTGGCGGTTTGATGAGCACTCTGAGCAGTGGATCTGAACGCCCTGGCAGCACCTTGAGGTGTTGGCATGCTTTTGCAGCACCCCAGGCCTGCGCAATATTGCTATTAGCACTGAGTCAGAGCTGTTTGGAAATGTGATAAGATTTGGAACGTGCGCATGGGCTATGAGCCAATGACAGAGGTTTATCTATGGATTCAACAACTACAGAAGCTTCTTCAACGGAATAATCACAGCAACCTGTATCTCACATCTAATGCAGGATTGTTCATCTTTGTCCCTCCATCCACCAAATAGAAGCCAGTTTGATACTGCAGCAGTGTCATTTTATGTTTTGTTGGAGCAAATGGTGGCATCTGCATCTTTGAATTCTATGTGTCGGGCTTTTGAAGTCCAAAGGAGACGGAGTCATGGACTTTGTCAAGTTAGGCTGCACAAAACATGGCAAATTCTGTTGATGTGTAGTGGACGTGCACAATTCAGGGCAGTTTGTGGTAGATTGGATCACAATCCAGTCCAATCTGACATCACAACCACAATCTGACATCACAGTCTCACATCACAACCTGATATCACAATGTCTGGCCTCCCCAAAAACGCCTGATAAAGTGTGAAGTTCACAGGCACAAATCCGACTTTTTGTCTGGCATTGAAGCTGTTGTGCTATCAGCTGAGAAATGGGACATGCACAAAAACTTGTTTCAGCTGATGGACCACTGGCAATGCACATCTGAATTGTTAGATTTGACAAGTCTTTTATGAAGCAGTTCGTGCTTCTGCAGTGCTGGTTATAAAGATTTGCCCATTCCATGCATTACAAATGCTCACAGAGTTGTGAGAATAAACCTCAACATGCTGTTTTTTCAGGTATGAATGAAAGACTTGTGAATGTGAACAAATGTCAGCATCCTGTAATAGGTGGAAGGGCTGTTGGGTTTTATGTGTCACAACTGTGATCAATGAGACCATGCCAACTGCCGGCGCTGTGCTGATGACAACTTTGCTGTATGTGCTATTCTCAGCTCATTCTGCCATACGTCGACCTGAAGTCTGTGTACTTCGACCTCGGCCTTCCAAGCCGCGACAAGACTGACGACCAAATCACGATCGATGCTGCGAATGCCATCAAGGTCTTGTGCAGCTGGTCCCATCCACGTTTTGCAGACATGCATTTTGATCACATCCTTCCAATTTGGTGTACTTTGTTGAGCATGAGTGAAAATGTTTGATAGTGCTGCCCAGCTGTCTTCAACATGATAGTGTTGCTTTTAATGGAATCGCCGATTGGTGTTCAACATCTGTAGCCCAGCTGCTGCAAATGTTGACATCTCCGCTGTGTCCTACCATTGCCTTGGCAAGTTGTCTGAAAGCCAGCAAACAAGATCTACAGTGAGGGACAGTAGGAATCACCTTACCAGTGGGATGGAGAGGCCTTTGATGCTGTGAAGCTTGGTCACTGCTGTTTACCTCCTCCAGCTACTGTTTTTTCTTTTGTTTATTTCACTGCGGTAACTTGAGAACTGTTTTTTTCTGCTCTCTAATATGTATGCCTGGTGGCTGTATTGTCACTAATGTGTTCACCTTTGAGGTATTTGTTGCATTGCTGAGTTTCTGGAGCTGTGGCAGGTGCATAATGTGGGCATCAAGTGTGCAACGATCACCCCAGATGAGGCCAGGGTGGAGGAGTTCAAGCTGAAAAAGGCAAGGAAATCCCGGCAGCCTCCAGAAGTCGTTGTTTCTCTTGTTCTTCTGCATGTCACTCTCCGTTGCAGTCAGGGCAGCCAAGCAGCGCTCGTTCGCTCTTCGAGGAACATTGTGAGCCTTTTAGTGGGCAATTCGTCCTAAAACCCAAATTACGACAAGCCTGCGATGTCAGCAATGAGTGTTCAGCTTCTGCAAAAAATCGTATCTTTGTTTGAAGTCTACAAATGGAGACTTTTAGTCATCCTGCACCGCGTGCCAGTGAGGCTCAATTGCATCCTCCAGAAGGAGAGTGGCCATTGTATGGCATGCTTCATGTTCTCAAGAAAGCAGTCTGTGGCTGCCTGTGTTGTAGTTCACATTAGATGGTTTTGTATTTGCTGTTGAACCTCAGAACCCCCCATCTGTCAGGTTTAATGCCAACTTTCTATTCACACAAGTGATGGGGCGTACAGTGCATGCAGACACAACTGCCAGGTGTATTCGTTATTGGTTAGGTGACTGCAGCCTCAAGTACAGCCTCAAGTACAGCCTCAAGTACGTGTTTGGGTTTGTGAGCACCGTTGTACGTCATAGTGCTATATATATATGCAGGCACTGCACAACACAGGCTGCAGATTATGACACAGCGACGGGCAGAAGAACTGCTGCTTGCGTTCCTATTGTGCTGCCCAAGAAAATCAGCTTCTGAAATGTTTTGCTTTCTTTGCAGATGTGGCTCAGTCCCAACGGTACCATCCGTAATATTTTGAATGGGACTGTCTTCCGCGAGCCCATCGTCATGTCGAACGTGCCTCGGCTTGTCCCGGGATGGAAGCAGCCCATCGTGATTGGCAGGTGGGTTGCATGGCCTCCATCGGTCACCAGTGGCGACGTATCTGATGGCATTGCCGTTTTGGACAGCCCTCCCTCAACTTCAGCTGGATTTTTAATGCATAAGAACGGCTGCCTTGAATTCCTGCCGCTGCTCTCTATCTATTCGGAAGCAATTGTCCATTTCGGCGTTTGCTGATCGCTTGCTTGGCATTATGTTACTACGTCATTGTTGACAAGTGTGCCGTATTCTCATTTGTCGATCGCCAAATGGTTATTTGTCTGTGTCATTTGCCCACGGCCTAGCTGCTGTTTTGCCTATTTCTCATTTCGATTGCCTCACTAGTTGTTTTTATTCAATTTTTTATTTGTCGGTTGCCTGGCTAATTTATTGTCTGCTTCATGTGTTGATTTGCCTGAGTCCAACTTTCATGTGCGCCCCTCCTCCAAGGCACGCATTTGGAGACCAATACCGCGCCACCAACTTCGTGGTCGACCAGCCTGGTAAGCTCGAGATGGTGTTCACGCCTGCGGGTGGCGAGCCCAAGAAGTACGAGGTGTTCAATTTCCCAGCGCCCGGCGTGGCCATGGGCATGTACAACACCGACGAGTCCATCACGGGCTTCGCCCAGGCGTGCTTCCAGTACGCCCTGGACAAGAAGTGGCCGCTGTACATGTCCACCAAGAACACCATTCTGAAGCAATACGACGGAAGGTGGGCGTCCCTCAATTCGAAAGGCACTAGAAAAAAGGGCCAAATGACAAGTTCTGCGAACACATATGTATGCATTTCATCAGTGTTCATTTCATCAGTGTTCTGCGCGCTGAAAGCACGAAAATAACACGAACCCGTAAACTTTGTACACGTTTGAACACGTATTATTTGGCTCTTTCTTTCCTAGTGAGACGTTCAATAGCAATAGAACCATTTTTTTGCGCTTTGTATGTCCAACATTTGATCGAATCTGATAGGCTCTCATTGCCTAAACTAGCATGATCTAGTGCCATTTTAGATGATCAAGTATTTATTGTATGTTGACATAATCGTATGATGCATCTGTCATGCGACATTGTCGGATAGTATCAATGGATATCCAATGGATGTCTATTGAACTCAGTGTTGAGAGTAGATAACAAGATTGAAATGTAACATTGTTTGTCGCTTCGAGTGTTCACTTCGTGTCGAGCAGCAGCAGAAGAAGATTTCCTACATATGGTGTTGTGACAAATATGTGCATGCCACCGTCTGTTGTATGCCCGCAATACTTGACCCGTCAGAATGCATCATGGCCACGTCCAGGGCCGCCCATGTGTCACCCCGCTCTTGTCCAGCAGAAGAAGGCGCTGATGGTCAGTGTTGCTGATCAATCTCTGGAATGCTCGCTGTGGAGGCCCCTCCTCCGAGCAGCCTTTTCCCAAAATTAAAAATGGGCCAAAATACACGGTTTTAGAGCCGTGTAAGAATCGTGTACAACTGTGTCGAAACATGTAAAAATCGTGTACACTAACGCAATCGCCACCGCGCGGTTTTGTTCCTTTTTTCGTACGATAAATACATGATAAATGCATTCGATGTAACATGACTATTACGCAATTTCTAATTGTGTTACACGGTGCATGGTTTTCAAAACCATGCATGTTGGACTATTTCTTACCAGTGTCCGCCGTTCCCCAGGTTCCTGATCATCTTCCAGGAGATGTACGAAAAGGAGTTCAAGGCCAAGTTCGAGGCCGCGGGCATATGGTACGAGCACCGCCTAATCGACGACATGGTGGCCCAGGCGCTCAAGTCGTCCGGCGGATTCGTGTGGGCGTGCAAGAACTACGACGGCGACGTGCAGTCCGATATCGTAGCCCAGGGATACGGTTCGCTGGGCCTGATGACCAGCGTGCTGCTGGCGCCCGACGGGAAGACGGTGGAGGCCGAGGCGGCACACGGTGGGTGTGGAACCCTTGTCTGTTTACTTGTCATGCTTTTCTTTCCTTCCTACCTTTTGTCTTTTTCCTTCTTTCGTTTCAGTGTGGAAGAATGGGGGCTTACTAAGGGCGGAGTCCTCGGGGATGGAAAATGGTAAAAGGAGGGCAACATGGCGAATGGGGAGTTGTGTGCGATTGTGTCCCAGAGTGCGACTCTGCAGCACGGGCCTGAGCCGCAGAGGTGGGCTCATGTGTGGAAAGGGTTTGGGATGTGTTGATGCTGGTTGCTTTGACCAAAAGGCGCCTCCCAGGGCAGGTTGTGTCGCGTGATTTGTTCCCGTCCTGTGTAAGAGAGTCAATGCTTACCACGTTGGGTTTCTATCAGCGGCAGTTGTTGAAACAGGATTCATAACAGCTTGGCTCGGTTGGACGTGGATCGACATTGGTGAACGTAGCTTCGCCAGTGGGAGTTGAAGTGCGTGCTTGCCCTCTGCACCTCCGTGTTTGATAGCAGCTATCTGTTTTTTTACATTATTTGCTGAATACGAAGTCATCTATTTTCAGCTACACTGTTTCGCACTTGTTCCCGAGCTAATTTGCCGCCCTCTGAATCCGCAATTTCATTTGCCAGTGCTCGGCGCGCATTGACAACACCAATAAACCTAATACCACTATTCCTAAAAACCCACAACATTGAACTGGAAACAAGTAAGAAGATGAAAATGAAGATAATAAGCGGGAATTAAATTGTTCGCAAGTGCATGAACGCTGCCGTGTGTGCGCTGCACGCAGGCACCGTCACGCGCCACTGGCGCGAGTACCAGAAGGGCAACGCCACCTCCACCAACCCCGTGGCCAGCATCTTCGCCTGGACGCGCGGCCTGGCGCACAGGGCGAAGCTGGACGGAAACGAGCCCCTGGGCAAGTTCTGCGCTGACCTCGAGGCCGCCGTCAGGGACACCATCGAGGGCGGGCAGATGACTAAGGACCTGGCCATCTGCGTGCACGGCACCACCAAGGTCACGCCGGACCAGTACCTGTACACGGAGCCCTTCATGGACGCCATTGTCGAGAAGCTTCGCAGTAGGCGGGCTTGAACTTTGCAATTCGAAGTCTGAGCGGAATTTGAAAATGGGCAGCGGGGGATCCGGGGTGGCTGTGTTGTGCCACTTTGGGTCGCAGAGCAAGTTTGTAAGAGGTGCGCGTGGAATTGAGCGGAGGTCGAATTTGGTATCCTTGTGCTTGAGTTTAACGTGAAGTTCAGATGGGCGAGAGCGAAGTTCTGGGGCAGTCGACTCACTTTTCGGAGATGATTTCTAGCGTCTTTTCTTGAACGAATGCTGGGTGGGGTGGCAGAGAAACGTATGCGGTGAAGGTGCGGATTGGCGGCGGCCTGCCTTCGACTCCCCGATGCCTGCGCCGCCTGCAGGCGTCCAGATTTTGAGCGCCGTTTTTTGGACGGAGGCCGGCGGCCGCCAACAATTGCATTTCGTATCTCGCACGGAACTAGGGCTTGAGCACGCTTGGCGTAGAGGGATGGGGTGGTGGACCCGCCTGTCCTCAATTTTCGTTGGCCCAGCCCAGCACTGCGCTGAGGTGCTGGGTTGAAGGCTCTGGGTTATCAAACGGATGCGATGGGCGTGAGGTATGAAGTATGGGGCGCGTGTCGAGTTCGTGGGTTGCTGTGGGAGTTGCCGTGGGGCGAAGGGACAGGCTGCGAAGTGTGGGAAAGGTGTTAATGGTCTGAATTTATGGTTTGGGCAGCCCCTTCTGTGGTCAGTGGGGTAACCGACTTTGGGCATTATTTGACGGTCCCTTGATGGCTAGTCAACTCTTGATTGTGATCGCTGTCAGATGTCCAATATCTCTCTTGACACGGAAGCACATGGAATGCACATGCGCCCGTCCACTTCTGCTTTCACTCCCGTGGCCGATTTCTGCCAGAGGGGGGAATGGATTGCCAGCCAGAAATGGTTTCAGAAATGCATTTTTTAGGACCAGCCTTGCATCCGTTAAACGGCCAAGAGACGCCATAGCTTTGTGATCAGACAAAGGATGCAGCAGCACATTCGCGTTCCGACGATCGCATTGTCAGCAGACAGTCCATCGGACGTTCGAAGTCCGTAAACGTGGGCGTGGGCATCCTACCCGCCCTGACGCCACAGCTACGTTCTTGGCGTCGCCGCAACCCTACATCCATCACAAATGTCCAATACCCTTCATTTCCGGACTGCAGAAGGTGGCCGCATGACATGG